TCGTCGTATTATATAAATAAATTTATTCAAAATCCGTATTTTATAAGCTAGGATTTCGTTTTTTAATTAAAATAGGTCGTCTTTGTTTTTAATTATTATTTTTTTTTTAATTTACTTTTTATTATTATAAAGGTTTACGCTCGCTTAAAAAAGCTAATAGGTTATACTTTAATTATTTTATATATTATTAATAGTATTTAAATATACTTTTTATTATAGTTTTTAATAGTCTTAAGGCATTAAACTATTTTTTATTTATTTATTATAATAAAGGTTTTACTAAAGGGTTTTTTAAAGTACTATCCTAATTATTCTTTATTATTTTAATAAATAAAGTAATTATCGTCGTAATATATAATTTAAAAAAGTGATTTATAAAGTATTTTTTTAAAAGTAATATTAATTTATTTTTCGAAAATAGGTCGTTATTAAATTCGTTTAGGCTATTTATAGTCTTTAGTTATATATCTTAATTTATTATAATTATAATATTTAAATTTTTTTTTTTAGCGGGATTAATCTCGTTTTACTATATTAAGGTTTATAAGTCCGTTATATTATTTATAAATAGTAGTTTATTAAGGGTTATTATTTTTATTATAGCGGTGTTTTTAATTAAAGTTGCGTTAAAGTTGTTATTAATATTTACGTCTTAAGTTAAGTTTTTATCGTTATTTTTTTTTTTTTTTTTATAAAAGCGGTTATTAATTTTAATTATAAATTTAGTATATTAAAAAAAATCGTTTAGTTCGTCGATCTTAATAAGTTCGTCCTTAACCTTATTTTTTAATTTTTAATAGAATATAAAAATCTTAATATTATTAATAAGATTAAATTAAATATTAAAGCATTTAAACTCAGCTAAATAATCTTTTATTAATTTAATTTATTAGAATTATAATATATCGCGCTCGGCTTATCGTTTTTTATTTAGATTTTAAAAAAATAATTTAAAAACTTTTTTAAACTTATCGAAATTATAATAAATATTTTATATTTTAATAAAATATTTATTAAAAGTCTCTTTTTTAAAATACTTTTTTTAAAAAAGTTTAAACTATTTAAAAACTCGTTTTTTAAAAAAGCTAACGGCGTATACGACCTTTTTAATTTTATTATTAAAGTCTTTTTAATAAAAGTTTTAAAAGTTTTTAATTTAAATTAAGAATTTTTTTAAGGTTTTAAAAGTCCTATTAAAAGTAATAAGTATATTAAGTTTAAATTTTTATTATTTTTTATTAAGAAAAATAATAACGATATTAACAGTATTTTAAAACGTATTTATTTAATTAGCGAAATTTAAAACTCTTTAATATTTACTTTTAAATCTTTTAAACGTAATATTAAGTATTTTTTATATTTTAATAATATCGTAATCGTTTTTAATTTAAGCTTTTATTAATCGAGTAGTATTAATATTAAAAAGTTTATTTAGTTTTTTATTACGTTTAATATTTTTTTTAACGGCTTTACGTATTTAAGCGTATATTATTTAATTAAGGACTACGTTTTTATTAAAATCGAATTTAATATCGGGTATTTTTAAATCTTTTTTAGCTTAGGAAAGTTCGGTATTTAGAACCTAGGGCTATTTACTTTTATTAAAAAAAGATTAAATAAATATCGTTTATATTATTTAATAAGTTTTTATAAAGTCGACTTATTAAATAAAAATAATTAAAATATTATAGCTAGCTAATCGTAATAAAGTTCGTATTAATAAAAATCGGGGCTACGATATTCATAAATAATAATCGTTATAAAAATAGTTTTAATAAAGCTATTATTTATAAATTATAAAATAAGTAAGGCTTTAGTAATTAATCGTAATTTTATTAAATAAGTTTTTAATAAGGATAGTTAAAAACGATTATTAAATTTAATATAAGAATTAATTATTAAAAAAGTTATAAAAATTTATTTTTAAATTTAACTTAGGTTATTTTATATATAAATCCTAATTATAAATATATCTTTTATAATATTTTATTTATTATTATTTAATCGTTTATTAAACGGTCGTCCGTCTTATATTTTTATAATCGCCTATTCTATTTATTTACGGGCGTCCGTTTTTTATTTTATTATACGATCGGGGTTATGTAATTTATTTATAGTTTTTTTATCTTAAGAGAGGCCGTTTAAGTTCTTATTATTATATATATAGTATAGTAGCCGCCGTAGGTCCTGTGGGGCAGGGCCTTGGTTTAGTAATACGTGTTAGGTCGTAACATTCGTATTTATTAAATTAATTTTATAAAGTAAATCTTACTTTATTAACTTATTAAACCGTAATTAATAAATAATCGACTTTTTATTTATCGGTTCTTTTTATTAATAAGGTTTTATTAATTTTATTAATCCGTAAAATAAGCTTTTTAAAAAATTTTATTTTTAGTTTACCTTTTATCTTTTTTATTACCGATCCGAATAATAAAGTTTTAAGTTTAATAAGAAGCCTTTTTTTTTAATTATTAGTTTTAAAACGGCTTCGAAAGGCGTTAATAATTGTAATAAAATTATTTTAATCGACTATTATATATACGATTTAATAATAATATTCCTTAACCTTTTTAATAAAAACGATAGTAATTGCTAAATAATATTAATAATTTTAGATTTTAATCTTTTTATAATTAATATAAAATATAATTAAAATCTTTTATAAAACCTTGTATTTTCTATTTAAATACTTCTTTTTTTTAAAGAAGATTTTATATAAATCGGTTAATTACCGTACATTAGCCGCTTCTAGGCTTAGATTTTTATAGCTTATTTAAAAAAAGAAATTAAAGCCGCGTTAGCCGTAGTTAATTAATCGCAATTTAACACTCGTATTTAGTTAAATAGGGCTAAATAGCCTCGTTCTTATCGATAATTTATTAGCCGTAATAAAAGTTTATAAAAGTAGTAATAACTTTATTTTTAATAATATTTTTTTAATTAATATAGATCTCGAAGCCGAGATAGCTCTATTTATAATTTTAAATAAGAATTTAAGCTCTTTAGTCCGTTAAGTAAACTATTCGAATCGATTAACTACTTAATTAATTTATATTTTAAATTAAATTAAGAAGTTAATTACCTAAACCGTTATTATAAAGGTTTTATAAGGCTACTTTACTAGCGTTTAGTTTAATAAGACCTTATTATTATAAATAAATTTATTAAATTCTTTAATAATCTATTTATTTACGAGTTTAAACTAATCGTTAGGCTAATAATTTAAGTTATTAATTATATAATAAAATAAAGTTCGCTTAATTAAGTTCTATTTACGGTATATTTTAATTATAAATAATAGCGCTATATTAATTTAATCATTATTAAAATCGTCTATATTGTTATATAATTAATTTCTTTAATACGCTTAGATATTAATAGTAATTTATTAATCCGGGATAAGCACTTTTACTTATGCCCGGCTTAACTCGCTTAAAGTCGTATTATGGCCTATATTAAAACTTAAGGCGATCGTTATATTAGTTTTTAATATATTAAAATTTAACTTATTTAAAAATAGCGGTAATAACTTTTTATCGTCGCTTAACTTATTATTAAAAGTTAAATCGGTTCCTACGCCCTAAGTTTACTTCGTAATATTCTTTATATTTATCCTTTACTTTATAAATAAGCTTTTAATACCGTTTTTAGTTATTATAGGCTCCTTTTATTTAATTTAAGCGGTTTTATTATATTTTATTAAAATAGATTACGGTTAATTTAATAACGTTTTAAATATATACGTTTCTCCTTAAATAAACACCCGGGAGACGTATATATTCGTTAAGCGAATTATTATTATTCGGTAATCTATTTTTTTTTAAAAAGTATAAAAAAACCGTTTTAAATCCGTTCTTAGTCTTTTTTTTTTTAGGATTATTTTAGCCTTAGCCTCTTTTTTTAACGCCTATTATTAAATTATAAAAATACTTATTACTTTCGTACGGTAGGTGCTTATAGTAGGCCGGTTAAGCTTAAAAATTTTATAATAACCTCGTTTTTATTTATAAATCGTTGTTAAAGTAGTATTCTATTCGTTTATTTAAAGAGGTAATAAAAAAGTTAAAAAGAGGTTAAATTAAATAAGATTTTATAAAATTTACTTTATATCTTCGATCTTTTTTTTAATTAAATCGTCGTATAGTTTAAGTTCGTTAAGTCTACCTCTTTTATTCTTACCTTTATTAAAAAGCGTAAATACGATTTATTTAAAAAATCTTTTTAGTTTTTAATCGTACGGCGTTTTAATATATTTTTATTAAAAGCTCGTTTTTCGTATTTATAAAGTTAAATAAATTATATAATTTACTTTTTATATTTTTTTTTTATGTTTATATTTTATAAATTATAAAATAAATATAAATATTATATAATCCGGTCGCGGTTAATATAAATATAAAATAAATAGATTCGTATATTTATTATAAAAAATAAAAAAAAAAATAAAAAAAAAAGTTTTTTAAAATTAAAAAAGGTATAAAAAAAAAGATTTTTTTAACGGTTAATATTTAATTTAAGCGGTTTTATTAATAAACCGTTTAAAAACGTTGCTAATATAATAAACGCTTTTTTTTTAATAAAAATCTAAAAGATCGGAAATCTTTTATTTTATACGGCGTTAAAAAATCGTTTTTTTTTAGTTTTTATAAAAAGTTAAAATAATACGATTCTTTTATCTTATATAATATTAAAAAGTTACTTTTTTTATTTTATAATAGCCTTATTAATTTACGATAATAATTAAACTATTAATTAGTATTAGTTTATATAATTATAAGGTGATTTGTTCGATCGAACCGTGGTAATAAAAGGTTAATTACTCTTGTATTGATCTCTGCGTGAAGTGGAAAAGAGAGGTTCTAACCGTAGGTTGGATCGCCGGTCAAACGCTGATATAGAGACCCTCAGATGGCCCCTGCGCTGGCGCTGACTCGAGGTCGAATTGGGCTTCCAATCCGACAGACCTTCTATCCTGAAAGTTCCGCATATGTTATTTTTCAGAGCACACCGGGTATGTGACAAGCATTCAACAGGGAGACCTTATCTTCCGTGTCGAATAACTTTTGGAGGCTCTCTGTCGGCGTCGGGCTTGTGACAAGAATTTTGACAGGAAACGTCATGTCCTCATTCCTCACCAGGTCGAGCAAACACCCCACCACCTTGATAAGTTCATCTTCCCAGGGTTCGATTTCGTAGTGCACCGCGCCATCAACGAAACATACGAGGGTTAGCCTATTTGGTAGCCGCTCGAATAGCCAGCCGAACGGGGCGCACAACTCCTCGAGGTCACCATCCTTGATCAGCCGTTGCTTGATGCGGCGGTCCAAGCCGGTCAAGTTGAAGCTGCGGTGCTGCTCCAGTAACTGCCCGATCAAGCTCTTGATCATGGATACTCCTGCGATGGTCGAGCTCCCCTTGTCATCGTCTTCTTCTTTTTTTTCTTCTTCTGGGTGGAGGCCGCAGGAGAACAATAGCGAGATAGAGTCATCTCTTATGCGGAGCGTCTGCGTGAACGTGGCGGACAGGACCGACAGCGCCGAAATGTAATGACTTTCGTCAAATCCAAAGTTGCCCTCCAAGAGGAGCTCAGCTGACGTGGCCGCGATGGCCCAATCCCCAAATTTTGGAGTATCAACGACCTGCTCAGCTTGGGCGACGTGGATCGGAGAGATGATGTCTTTGCTGCCCAGAACTTCCTCCAGGTCTGTCCCGTCGACATTCGGGAACGGAGAAGCTCTAGCAGAGCCTCAACCGTCATAGCTGGAATGGAACGGGTTAAACCGACGATAATTTTGGCGGTATTTCTACTTCAGATACTGTCTCAGTCACTATTGCTAACCTGTCCCAATTTCAGGACTTCGCTTGCGGCCTTCTGGGCTTCAATCAATATGCCCTCATAGCATCGATTCGACGAGTCATCAACCCACGTGTTCAACCTCACCACTCCCCTTATCAGCGAACTCTTCTATCTCGCCCCGGGAGCTGGCTTCTTACTTGGCAGCATGATCGGCGGTGCGCTGTCGTATCGTACGGTCAAGCGGTATATCCAAAAGCGGAACGGCCTCCGCCTACCACAGGACCGACTCAATGCCTATCTTCTGGCTTTCTTCTTCCTACTTCCACTCGGAACATTAGTCTTAGGCTGGAGTCTCCAATTAGAGGTAGGAGGGATGGCTTTGCCAGTCACCAGCTCCTTTGTTCAAGGCTTCGGTCTAGTGTGGTCATTCAGCGGGCTGAACACATATACCGCCGGTGCGTTCATATCTGATGTTAACATCTACATTGCTACCTATGTATGACTGACTAGTGGATTTTTAGTAGAAGTTCTACCAGAAAAGAGAACAGCCGTCATTAGTGGAAAACACATCGTCCAATATTGTTCCGGGGCCGGCGCTGTTGGTGGTGTCGTTCCCATGATAGACACCATCGGTGTTGGCTGGTCGTTTAACATCAGTAAGTTCACATTAACTTGGCACGGTGAGAGCTCTGAGTTGGTTGCTGGTCATCTTTTATAGCTTGGCTTGGTGCCATATTTGGCGGCGTGCTCGTCTTCGCAATGATGAAGACAACATTACATGTTGGACACAATAAGACATTTGACGACAAATCAGACAGTGATTCTGATAATATTGTTCAAGTTGGGAAGGGGCGTGAAAAGTCACTCTGCCGAATAAGGAACTTCAAGCCGTTCTGCTATACAAGTTTCATTTTGGGCTAGGTTTTGGGTGTTAAAAGAGATTGCTCACTTTGCGGAGCATTGCATGAGTTGACCGAAAAGCTGGCATCACTGTTGAATATTATCAAGACATTAGACTACTGGCTGGGTTCTAGATGGCTGTGAACGTTGAATTCACTACATAAGATTTAGACGCTCATGGAGTTTCTCCCCGACCACCAGCTCCTTCTTTCAACCACCAAATTGCATCTCCCTCTTTATCTGGTGCATCCTTATCAATTTTACAGATTGCATGTTCATGGTTCGCTGTAATATCCAATGCAAAAAAAGCGTAGTTTTGTGCGTTGTTGAGCTTCTCAATATCAGATAGGGTGATACAACTATCGCCATTGTTTAGTCAGGGTTTCATAAAGCTGGAAAGTCTTTCACTCACTTAGATGGCGCATAATCGTAATCAAGAGAACCATCATAAGTAGCCGACTTCCAATGTTGAAAACCTCCTACCACACCAGGTAGGTGTGTCATCTCATGCAGGAGGGAGAGTCCTGCAGAAGGTTGCACAACTCGATTGCGCGTCCATGCTGATTGCGCGGCTTGTTCCCCTTCATCTGTTCCATAGTATCCCTCATTGGAGAAAGCTGTAGGGCAAATAACAACACTGTTGTCCTTTGGCCGTGCAAAGGCCAGAGTACGAGGTTCGGTTCTGCATAGGCGGGAAGATTGATGTGTTCCGCATCCGATGGGTATAACGACATCTCGCTCTCGAAGTGAGGACACGTAGGTAGTCTTTTCAGAACCCAATGCGCGAATAGACTCGAAAATGCTCCAACTCATATCCAACACCAGTTCTCGATTACCATCTCGAATAGAAAAGTATTGTAAGGTTATCGTAGCTCGAGGTAGAATAAGGTCAAAAAGACTTACAGCCAAACCATCCAAGAAATGCGGCTGTTCTCTCGGCGTCGTCTTCAACAAGAAAGTCAGACGCCGACTCAGCGTAGTATTTCATCCATTTGATAGCATTTTGGATGAAAGCAACCTGTGTTTCGTTGCATATGAACGGGCTGCCTTCTCCTTGGGCACCTGCGATAATCCCAAGACTCGTTTTCCTTCGAAATTTCGAATGTGGTATCTGAGATTTCAGCGTCGCGCAATAGGCTGCAACAAACAAATGAAGAGAGACTAAGAATGTACAGCCGCGCATCTTCACAATATTTGTAAATGACATCCACAAATACGTCGAGACACGCGTGGTCAGAAACCTGCCTTTTAAAGAATTTACTTCCCGACTCGCTTGAACGGACAGACCGAAAAATTAAGACTGAACAATCAAATAATTATCAATGCTATATAAGGTAGATAAGGTAGATAGTAGTCATTATATGAGAAGGACCATCGCATAGGTATACAGGGAGGCCCCTGTAAATCAGAACTCGATCAACTGTTTTCTGCACGGATGTCTTGTTCGATTCGGTCACCCCGGTCACCCCACTCGCAACCCTCGGGACAGATCATGGCATTTGTTTTCCGGCACGCAGTTTATCATACCGCAGTACTGTTCCGAGTAACACGTTTGGCACCCATCGCGCTTTGCACATGTCAGATTCGTTTAATAAATCAGGATGATGAGAATAATCATACCAGTCCTCCGATGAGCAGTATTCTGTAGGGTTGTGGCTGATACCCTCCCTCGTCAGTGTGAAGACCATGCTTATCGGCACCTGCAGGTTAGTGTAGCAACTGTCATGTCCGGCGCCGCTGATAATTGGTCTGAACAGCTTGTGCTCACCAGCCTCGGGAAGCGTAGAGCACACATCAGCTGCACTCGCCTCAACAGCAGCGATGCAATCCGGATGGAACTGAACGGCTGGACTATCGAACAGCAGCTTCCACTCCACAATGCACCCTTGTCCGCTGTCATCTTTGCCGATACGCTCAAGCTCCTCCTCGCAGCGGCGGACCATTTCCCCCAACACTGCGTCCTCGACGTGACGCATGTCAAGGCTGAACTTGGCCGTGTGCGGCATTGTGTTGACGCTTCCTGGATCTGTGGTGAAGATGCCCGTCGTAGCGAAGCCGCTGAAATCATGGGCGACGGTATTGGCCGCAACGACGAGCTTGCTTGCACAGAGTACCGGGTCCTTGCGCGCGGACAGCGGCGTTGTGCCGGCGTGACTATCGCGACCCTTGACTGTGATGTTGAACCATTTGAAAGCCTTCACGCCCGTTTTCGTGGTTAGTACTGAGTCACTCTTGATGGCTGTCGTCAGATCGAGGGTCTAGCTTCGGACGACACCAAGCTTTTGCTTTAAATCTTCCAGAATAGGTCCTCGCTCGATGTGCAGCTCGAAGTGAGCAGCAAAGGGATTTGTGCGATACGAAGCCGCGCATTCACCAGTGTAGCCAATTCTGTCGAGCTCCTCCTTCATGGACTTGGGCTGGCCATCGCGTGATGACACCTCTCTCAGGCCCCAGGCTGTTTGCAGTGGAATGGCTTCAGCCCAGACACCTGAAGATACAGCCATTCTCGGGAATTGCGCACCCTCCTAGTAAATGATACCCGTCTTGGATCGTGCGCGACACCACATGATTGCCAAGGTGACTATTGTAGAAGAGAGCAAGAAGGCGGCCTCACGACTTGCTGCTGCAGCTAATCAATGTGCTTCCGCCCTAATCTCCTTCCGTCGGTCCTTGGGAGGCCGCGCTTATATCATAAACGTTCTTGACGCGTCTTGACGCGCCGGCCTTCCATCACCTTCAACTCCCGACATTTCAACCTCCTGACTCTTCTGTTTCTCAATTGCCTTATCTGCCCTTGCCTTGCCAGCGTCAGTGCTACGGAATGTTCCGAGACACTCATTCGGCGGACAAAATGTGTGGGAAAGGAGTTTTTGACCTGCCGAACAGAGCTGTCGTTGCTGAGAAGACAGAAAACAACCTCCTCCCACAGCCAAGAGAAGCGAAACGAAGCGATTGCTTTCATTCCCCGAATGTCATGGTCTGTTCTCAATGAGGCGCCTACTTCTACAGTCTTTTCTTTTCAAACTAACCTCTTTCATCTGGCAGGCCGGCACCGCTGACCACATCATGCTCTCCTTCGAGCAAATCAGGAAGGAAAGCGGCGCGCCCATCGTCAAGGCAATGGGGGAGTTAGGGTTATTTGCGACAGTAGTCCTGCCGAGATCTGATCGATTTTTTAGACATAATTTGCGTACTCTCCTAGTCAGAAACACGCAGTCATTATTGCTCGACAATTAAACAGTGGGAAAAAACCACTATGGGTATATAATCTCTGTGTTTTAAACACAATCTTGGGAGCATTTTGACTGCAACAGTGGTCACAGAAATTTACTCATGTTTGCACGTGCAACTTTGTCTTGCTGCCCAAAGGACAGAGCTCTTGGTATACACTAAGACATCAATAGCATGGTTGGAACGACAATAAAAAGGGGGCTGATACGCATATTTTCGATGCGGCTAATAACGACCTTACTTGGGATGTTGGCCTCTTTCAAATGGAAGTCATTTTGGAGATTAGAGAAATTCACCAGTTGACTTCAATAGACTTTGCAAATTTCTCTCAGGAAAAGGCCATTCCACTCTCTCTATGTGCTGTGCTCCTTTATGTAGCCCCTAACAACCTCCCGCAGGTCACTTGACGGAAGCTCCAGAATCTTGTTGGACTTATCTTCCTCCTTGATAGCATGCCCAGGTACGTCTCCGAACCAGTATTTTTGCAAAAACTCCTCAAAGGGGAATCTTCCACCAGCCGCCAGCTTCTCCTTGCCCTCCTTCTCGGCTTCGTCGGCAGTCTTGTGCTCGACTGTAAACTTTGACCCCGTCTCCTCCTCAAACAATTTGTGGAGCTCGTTTTGTGTAACTTCAAACTCGACAATGTTGATGTACTTGTTGGCGGTTTCGGCAGGGTGTCGCAGCACCGCGACGATGCCTTCGGCCAAGAAAGCCAGTGACGTCGTCGAAACCTTTTGGTTTCCAGAGTCAAAGATGGTAATACTCTTGCTCTCGAGCGAGATGCCGTAGATTCCTCGCGTGATACTCTGTCAAGACAGGGTCAGATTCACTTCAATTCAACCCTCTTGAGACATTTGGGAACTTACCCAGTCGAAGAAGAGACTCGTTCCAATACCAGTCCACGTGAAGCCGGGATTCGCTTCCGCCTTCTTGATCAAGTAGTCGACAGCGGCCGTCTTAGACTTCAACCAGTCGCCGAGGATCTCGCCCTCCAAGGTGCGGGTGTTGAGGCCGTACTCGGACGGGATGAAGCGCTTCACGCCAGCCGCAATCGCCGCATCAATGAGCGGGTTCTGCGAGCCGGGGACGATGACGGCCACGGTGGAAATTGCAGAGATGACCACGTCCTGGCCGGCAAAGGCGGAAGTGAGCGACTCGACAGACGAGAGGTCAGCCTTGCGAACGGCGACGCCGGACGGGAACGTGGCGGTTGAGGCCTCGCGGGAGATGGCTGTGACTTGGAAGCCTTTTTGCTGGAGTGCGTTGACGACGCGCAGGCCGACGAGGCCGGATGCCTGGTGAAGTCGTAAGCTTCCGTCGCATGTGACTTGTTGGCGATCACGGGCGTGAGGGTGGAGTACCTACACCGACTACTGCAACTGTCTTGACGGACATTTTTTGGACTCTATCTAATATCGATCTGACTGGAGAGAATGCAACGGGAACCCGACAAGGAGAGAGAGACCCTTGCATACCTGGCGCTCAACCCAACTATTTATACGTGAAGATAGAACCTGCAACCATGGGAATGGACAAGGGAGTTTAGCCCCTAATCCCTCTAACTCCTCCATCCCCGTCATTGAACTGGAAGGCTTGCGCCATTTGGCATGGCGGGCGTGGTTCTGCGGAGTGCAACCCTACACGGGGGCTCTATAATCAAGCTTCCGGGGGAAAAAAGCAGTGCATCTGTCAAGCTGTGGCAGCGATACCCACGCATTTGGCTTGCATCATCGCAGAATGGATTGCAGATCATCGATATGCCGCTAGTGGCCCTGGTAAAGACTAGTATAGTGGCACAGGACCGCATATAGTTCTTATCTATAGGTCGAGCCCGGGTCTCCTTGCTGGGGAACAAGGGCGAGTCAGGGAGAGACCGACTCACACTTTGAGCAACCTGTTATCTAGACACTCGTCACTTTCCATCTTCCATCTTCCGCAATGCCAAGTATTTCCAGAAAGGGGCTGGTTCTTCAATGACTTGGCTAATAACTCTCTGCTTCCCCACACGTTCCTGTCACCATCGGTTATGGCCGTTGGAGGTACCTGGCGGCACCTGGCGGAGGCACCGCGACAGGGAGGATATTTCTTTACGCGGATACGCTTGAAATGCAAGCCGAACATGGGTCACGGCTGCGGCCCGCAAAGAGATTGATCTCAATGGCATCCATCGCAACTGTGACGTTGCTAGCGGTAACCCTACCTTACCCCTCTCACGATGGCTGTCACTCCATGACAGCTCCAGGCAAGTGATGGCTTCATTGAGCTTGAGCCACCTCCATTGAGTGTCGTCGCTGTTCTCTATTCAAGCAGTGTTATCGCATTCCTCAAGAATTAGGCATTTGAATCGAGCAATCGCATCTTTGGTACAACTTGGAGCATGAGATTATTAATGTGTACAGGATTGCCAAGCAAGCATCTTAAACCACCTTATTCGGCTTCCAACCGCCCGCGAAGCCTCGCGCAACGCAAATCGTTACGCCGCTGGCAGCAAGGCAACATCCCGACCAGATCCAACCGCTCAGGTATCCGTGCGACCTCGACAGCGCACCAGCAATGGGCGATCCGAAGAGCAGCGCCACCGACATGACCGTAAACGCCATACCGAACCTAGTGCCCATGTAACTCTTGTCGGCCGTGAGCTTCACAAAGGTAGTCGGCTGCAAGCCGAAAAAGGTTCCGCTGAAGAAGCCGTACACCACGGTGACGACAATCAGCGAAGCCTGGCTGTTCGTCGCGGCGAAGCAGAAGGCGGCAATGGACATGACAAAGACGGCGCCGGCAATCATGTTCATGATGCCGATATAGGGCGCGAAGAAGTTGGGGATGATGCGCCCGACAATGGAGGCGCCGTTGAGCATCGAGAGGAGGTAGAGCGCGACATTCTCGCTCGCCATGTGGTTCTCTAGGGCGTAGCTCTGCACGTACACGTACGGCGTGTACATGCCCAGGAAGAGCAGACAGCAGGCGCCGAGGAAGAGGAGGAACGGGAGGTCGCGGAAGACGGATTTGTCGACGAGCGGTCGTCGCTTGAGGGGGATCTTGAGCTTCGATGTCTTGATGACGAGATTGGCTATGCCGAGCGTCACGAGCGCAATCAGCGCGAAGATGAGGACCGTCCATCGGAAGCCGATCTTGGGCTGGAGGGCTCGGAACATGGCTGGCAGGACGAGACTGGGACGGCATTGTTAGTCGGTTCGAGGTTTAGCCCTCAGGCTCGTCAAAGCATCACGTACCCGCCAACACCGCTACCGTTTGCCGCGATACCATTGGCAAGCGCCAATCTAGTCGAGAACCATTGCGATGGGAGTGCGACGCCTAGTGTAGACAGACAGCCTGTTCCGAGGCCGACAATGAGGCCCTGGCAGAGGAGGAATTGCCATAGGTTCCGGCAGAAGGCTTGGAGGATGAGACCGACCAGCACCAGGATCGATCCCACCACCAGCAGGTATCGAGAGTAGCCCAGGTCGTAGATGGGGCCAATGATGAAACCTAGAAAGACCATGAGAAAGTTCTGCAGAGAACCAATCGTAGAGATCTGAAAGGCCGTGTTATTGCTCAGGAGATCGGACTGGTAGTAAGCCTGAAAGGCGCCGAAGCTTGAAATGAGACCTGAGTTGCTACCCAGTCAGCTAGCCGCATCTGAAAATGACCATGTCCCATGTTTTTTGGCCCTGCAGTAGCTGCTGCAGCAGCCGCAGCTCACGATGGTCGCATCGCGTAAAACGCAGGCCCGAAGATCGATCTTGCTTACCCCATGTGTTGAAGTAGATGAAGAATGACCCAACGATGTGGAGCCATGCTTGCAAACCACCGTCGGGAGGTCCAGCAGGGGTTGTTGTCGACTTCTCAGCGGTAGGTGATGCTTGAGATGATGATGTTGGAGGGCTGTCGTTGCTGCTGGCGTTGTCTGCTACGATGACGGAGGCGTCCACCGTGGCCTCTCGTGTGCCGTTGTCCTTCTCCTGCTCCCTTGGACTATCATTTGAAGTTGAAGCCATTGCCGAGCTGAGTCAAGTCATCTGAACCTAATTCCGTCCTATGTGAGCGGCCGATGCGGGAAGCGGGATGCCAAAGTCTATTCCGGCTTCAAATGGTCTGAAAGATTACAATAGCCCGTCTTATCAGTGCGCCAACGCGACAAAGTCTAGAACCAAAAAGGTTTAAGTGGTGAAAGGGGTGGTGCCGGTTAGGATTGGGCACTACAGGGTCTCAGGCGAGAAACGCGGCTTCGGCAGTACCTAAAGGTAAATCAAAATACTCCCGAGCCACGCCTTTTTTGGCGCTCATCTAAGCAAAAAATTGCGTTGTGCCAAGGGACCCCCCTTTTCCCATGGGTTGTGGGGAACCTTTTTGCCTTGGAATTTTTTCTCTTCTTCAATCGACTGACTGATAAGATGAGCCGATGGTCTTACACTCATTTTACCCACTTCCATGTCCTCGATGCAACCCTTTATTGATGCCGTGATCGGGTCCCCCGACAGTATCCGCTCCGCACTGAGGCATCTGCAGCAGATCGGATCTAGACGCGGCACTTCTATCCGACAGATGATGTGGATGATGTTGGGATGTGTGTGTTGGGACGAGAAATCTGAAAAGCAACTACCGTTGGAGATGTCAAATTCAACCATGCTTGACCATTCATGAGGTCCTCCGACAAGTTAGACATTAGAATTGTAAGAGTCACCTCATTCCTCTCATACTCCCTTCAGAGGGAGGCCAAAAACTACACTAGAGAACGTGATGGCGAAAACGAGACCTCGGCCGGCGCCCGGAAAGGATCATCAGAGTGCGGAATTTGAACCGGCGACAGCGCCAGTTTAGGCAGGCCAGCCCACTGATCTGCCGCGCGCGTCGGGTCGCCACTGGGGCAGATCCCAGGGTTATGCTGGCCAGAATGCAACGGGTTTGACAACCTGCCAAAATGGGCTGACAACCCATCGGTCCCATCCACAGATCCAGCTGGATAGTTTTGCCCAATTCGGGCCAGAAACTGGGGCCAGATCTGACCATAATTCGGCGGTTCTCTCCATTGGCCGTGCTTTTTTTCGGCACTGGCCGTTGACTGCATGTGCACCGCTCGATGTGGACGTTACCAAAAGTGAGAGGGCATTGTGAGAGTGACGTACGATCAATCGCTAATCGCTGCGTCGTTCAGGTTGAGAATAACCGTGATAGGCTTACTAGCTCCGTCAAATACAGAGATGTCTAATGTAATTGGCTCGCCACTGCACAAGGTTTACTAGATCCGATTATAGGTCGAAAACAAGAATACGTTAAGTCAACGAACGTCGGCGGAAATTAGATACTTTCAAGTTGCTTACTGACAATGTAGAGACGACTTGCCTGATTGTTTATTGTAGAAGACTCTCGATCAAACGATTTCGCTCTGGGTATACTAATTTCATTCTTTCCACACGAGAGAGGTATCAAGTGTGAAGCGGCCTATAGCCTTTTATGAAAGAGAAGCTTCTAGAATTCTTCCTCATGCTTACGCCCTTGCCTTGACTTGATCGACTACTACTTCCTTGGCGGCCAAGTTGCTTGTCCTCAAATGTAACATATTGTCACAAAGGAATGTTCCAATAGGGTGAAAATCATATTCATTCTAACCTCTGAACGTCATCATGGTTCGACATATGGCTATGGACTGGGTTGTCGAGTTTGTCAAAGCTGAGATGACACTCGACAGGGCGTCACTTACCCAGGCACCAGCGTCTTACATGTTCTGACAGCTCCTGCAGCCAGTTGCTCCATTCTAGGCGTATGGACGACCAACCTCGGGAGGAGGCTCACTCGACGACTATTTTGAAAGAGCATTTGGTCACTTTGGATTTCAGGCTCTCGCAAAATTACATATATAGACTGGAGCCACAGTCAATCTGGAAAAATGATAAACGAACAAAGTAGGCTCATCTTCGCAACTGTACGCCATCCAAGCCCTTCGTCCACATTGACCATCTGCTTCAATGTCGTCTTCGACGTCCGTCTTATCGAAGACGCTTCAGTCTATCACAACCACCAAAATCCGCGAGTTGGAGAAGCAGCGCACTCAATTGGAGAGCCGCAAGGGCAAAATCCTCGAGCAAGCCGAAAGCTACCACAACCAGTGCGATCGTATCAACTCTTTACTCCATGGAGTCAAGGAGCTGTATTCCAATGGCAACAGAACTGACACCAGCATCGACAACATCGGCAACTTACTAGCTCAGTCCAAGTATGACACGTCAGTGCCTTCCGCAATGTTGCGGGCTTCTGAGGAACTATTGAGGTCCAAACTTGAGGTGCAAAGCCATAAACTCAATATGGCACACCTATACTCGCGACTTGTTAGCGAGTGGATCAACCCTGGAAGCCCCATGGAGAATCCCGTCGCCGCCGACTTGACAGACGAAGACTCCTCCCTCAGTGATTGCCAGCAAGAGCGGCTGCGAAATCTGTGTGACCAATTTGAGAAAGTAGTCTTCACGCCACTGGAGACCGACGAGACGGAAATCAACAACTATCTGAGTAGTCTATTGGAGACTAGCAAAAGCAAAAGAGCATTCGAAGATGTTCGGCGACAAATCGCATATACAAGCGAGCAGTTCCTCAAGGGTACGAACCCGTTCAACACGGTCACGCTGAAGAAGTGCATCACCAGCCTCCTCCAGCAAGACCTGCTGAGCGACGAGAAGCAGGAAATTCTGCGTGAGTTTGAAGGCAACGAAGTCGTCCTGCGGGAGATTGCCGATGTTCTGAACACGCGATTCGCCGACTTTGACAATTGGGAATGGGACGCCGGCAAAGAGGGAGTCCCGTTTCTCCCGCGCCAGCAAGCCAACGGAAAGTACCGCATCTGGATGGACGAAGATGTGTTGCAGGCCATCTTCATCCACTGGATCGGCGTCAACAGCTGCGTCAGCTTGAAATCGACCCTGACGAATTTCGTCTCCCTGGACGGGGCCGATCAGGTCTGGAGATGGCACGCCGAGCCACCCGCGACTGAGAGGCAAACCCAGAGGCGAACGTACTATCTCGGCGAAGCGCCCAAAGAGCTCTCTGATAGATCTTGGCGCTCCTCAACAAGGAGGGGGGGGAAGACGGCCAATAGAACTCTCAGGAATCGCCAATTCCGGCCTTCCACTTCTGACGATACGGTCGCCGGATTCCGCAAGAAGAACTTCATCGAGAGATTTTGTCTCGCCGCCCTGCCAAGCCGAGTTGATACGCTCACCGAAGCACTGTACACGGATGATGGCGGAGTAACGGGGGATGATGATGGTGATGACGATGCTGCTTCGTCTGATTGGGTGCGGGCTCAAAAGTCGAATTTGAACGTCAAACAGCTTCTTCTGCGCACGCTTGCCACCGAGACAATGCTGCATCAAGCGCTTCACGGAAGAGCTGCCGTGGTGCAGTCTGATCTCAAGTGGTTCGGAGCCAGCTTATCGCACACGTCAATCTTCGCCACCCTTCGCTTCTTTGGGTTTCCCGAAAACCTTATCTCGTTCTACCGCAAGGTTCTCGAGACGCCGGTGAACCTGGGTCCCTCTTCTGAATCAGTAGTATCGTCGAGTGAGCCTCGCGTCAGACACAGGGGTACACCGATGGGTCGGACGCCAGCGAAACTCATCGGGGAGTTGATCTTGTTCGTGATGGACTTTGCCGTCAACCAAGAGACTGGGCTGCAACTGTACCGCCTACACGACGATCTCTGGGTTGCTGGCGATCCGGAGCATACGGCCAAGGCGTGGTCTGCCATGGAACGCTTCGCCAAGGTCATGGGATTGGAGTTTAACATGAAGAAGACTGGCTCGGTGTACTTGACCAGTGAAGGGGTGCCCCGGGACGAAGCCATCGATGCAGGGCTACCCAAAGGGCCTGTCAGCATCGGCCACCTTGTACTGGACCAGAAGACCGGGAAATGGACTATTGACCAGGCACACGTCGCGGAGCATGTGAAGCAGCTTCGGAAACAGCTCGCTGAGTGCAGGAGCGTTCTCGACTGGGTGCGCACATGGAACAGCTGCATCAGCCGCTTCTTCGGTCAGGCATTTGGGGAACCGGCCTACTGCTTTGGCAAAGAACACGTCGAGAGTGTCTTGCAGACCTACCAGAAGATGCAGCGCGACATCTTTGGGCCATGGTGCACCAAGAACAGCGGCTGTTCAACCAGCGGCGAGGCGGGTGAGGACCAGCTCAGCGTCGTCCGCTACATCAAATCCAAGATTGAGCAACGCTTCGGGGTTACAGACGTGTCGGACGCCTTCATTTTCTTCCCGGATCAACTAGGTGGGTTGGGCCTTCGAAACCCATTTATACCATTTCTCAAGGCCCAGGAGAGTCTTTCTGGAAAAGGAGCATCTGCGGAAGAGAAGGTGCAATCGTTCTTTGATAGCGAACGCCAGGACCATGAGGACAAGAAGAGGACCTTTGAATATACAAAGACCACCAGGATGCGTGAGCTAGAGGATGGTTTTCAGAGCCGTTTCGACCCTGACTTCCTCGGCCCGGACGATGCGGATACGTTCTTCACCTACGAGGAGTACACTGCGAATCGGAGCACCACTAGCAGTCTTTTGAAAAGCCTTTACGAGCAGGTTCAGGAGAGCCCATTCGAGACAAGCCCCAGGACTGACCGGCATGTCGATCAAGTGTTGGAGGGCTTGCATATCCAGCCAGCGAGTCTATGGTCCGAGGTGCAATGGATAGTGCAAATGTATCATCAGGAGGCGAAAGACCGGTTCGATGGTCTTCGGCTGGTTGACGAGCGATTTTTACCGCTCGGCGTCATTGATATGATGAGGGAGAAGGCCGTGCGCTGGGGTTTAGTTCTCTAAGATTCTTAGTCACTCGATGAAGAAGAACTAGTATAGAGTCTGTCCTGCTAAGGAAAGACATGTGGATTATCACAGTATCTAGAAAACAACATGCTTGAACTCACCTATAATTTTCCTTGATGTTATCCCAGAGATCTATAAGGCTAATCACCCTGCTTTACCTAACTTGTCGTCTGTGATTGATATGTATGGGATTCGCCTTGGTACAAGGGAAAAATCCACATTCCAATCACAACTAGGAAGTGCTAGTAAGCTGACTTGCCTTGAATTAACAGATTTGAACTAAAAAAAGATTTACTATGGAAGCAAAATCCTTTCGATTCACCTCTTGGATCAGGCATTGACATGATAGTGAATATGGCCCAAGACAGCACTAGGCCCACATACAATGATCGGACGACAGAGTGACTAAGAGGATGGAGTGATTCAGGGTCTCCCATGAGTTTGAATATACATAGTAATATCTAGCCTGTTTAAGAAAGTTCGATTACTTCGAACCGTACACCATCACTCAGGTTGAGTAACCTCCACTACAGTCTACAACTGTCATATCAGACTCCAAATTGAGAAGAAGCGACCATTAAGAAACCGAACAAACATCAATTTTGGCCGAGTCGCCTCATACGCTGATATTTAATTCAATAAATCAACAGTATCTTAGGCCATGTGCAAGCCAGATCCTATCCGCTGTCCAGACATGGGCGGGATCTTGCCTCGACCTGCAGCGGAAGACTGGCAACAGCGACGGCACCTGGGCCCCCGAGGCTTTATCAAGATACGCCCGCTTAGATCAGCTTAGGATTACTAAGTCTCATTGAACAGGGATGCCTTCTGAAGGGGCTGAGATGGGTATAATCGGTGGTGATGGGCTCTGATGTTGGCGTTACTTGGATTAATCAGCGAGGGACAATTATGAGGCTCGGCGTTCCGCCTTTTCGGCACCCCGGCAGCACTACATGTGCTGTTAGACAACCCCGAACTTTATTGTACAATCAAAGCTCTGCGTCATTTTACTCCAATTCATACCTATGGTCTTGGAGGCTGTTCCGCAGACGCAGGATACCAGCACTAGTGAATACTATTGGGTTCCACGCCAGTTTCGCAACATTGAATGGTGGTAACCCGAAAGGGTTCACCAATCATTAGGGTAATAAACTCTACATGTATAATTATTTGAATCTAAACGATCATGTGAGGCAGGTGAATCATTCAATTCATTTCCTCGGGTCCCAGTTAGCATCGACGTCATCGAGGAGGTTCCTTGTCTTTAGCACGTCTGATCCAAGAATCTTCTCCAGGCTCACCAGCTTAAAGCTAGCTTGGGTACTGGTACTACCGTCAGGCAGTTGGTTCGCGTCATCGTGGGTAACAAACAATCCGTGAGGGAAGTCCTTTCCGAGATGAGTTCCGACCGCAGTGATGCCGTCGGTATTCGAAACAGCATCAATCTGTCCATCCGACGACTTGGTGATTGTGAAAGTCGTGACATAGTAGTGAGGATCAGCCCGGGTGTACACATTGTAAGCACTGACACCCTGGTTCGACACGAGAATGTACCCCTGATCGGGCCTGACGCCGTAGACGAGTGTGACGCCCTCCACATCTGCAAAGGTCTGGCCATCGCCCACGAAAGTAACCTGAATGGCCTCATCCTCCGACGACTCAGGCTCGGCACCATAACGCCACAATGCGGAAGGCTCTTCGCCGAGGAAGATCCAGCCGTTCTCTTCGTCCGTCACACAGCCCTCGACTTGTCCGCCTGACCCGCCCGTGAAGTCTCGGACGAGGGTGGTCTGGAGAGTCCCGTTCGAGTTGGACGTCAACTCGTATTGCAAGTAGCGAGCGGACTTCTCGTTGACGAAGAGGTACTGCTTGCCGCTGTTCGGGGACTTGTAGACGCAGGAACCGTAGACTTTGTAGTCTGCTGGCACAGGTTGGATGCCGCCTGGGATATCTTTCAGTGTTCCGTTTGATGTCATCTCGAAAAGGCTGTGGCAATATTAGTGATTGATGGGCAACTCGTGATAACCAGCATGAACCAACCAAAGTGTGTCGTCGCCACGGCAAGCAGCGAAAGCGAGGTCAACCGTCCGATCCCCAGCTTGGAAGCCGTAAATCATATCAACATTGTTAGGCTCCGACGCTGGCAGAGTCTGCAGCAGCTTGCCCTTTAGGTCGAAAACGCCTAAGCCGGCGCCCTCTGTAGACTTGGTCGTAGTAATGATGCGGGAATTTTCGGGCGATTCTGGCGAGATCCAGATGGCGGGATCGTCTCCGTCGCCTCCGTTTGGATCAGTCTCATAGGAAGGTTCGACGAAGACGGCAGAACAGAAAAGGCCTCCCCATCCGTTCTCGCATTTGCACTGCTGTGGCCCAACACAATCGCCATGCCCTGAGCAATTCTTCATGCACTGTATTTCGTCGCACTTGTCGCCGGTGAAGCCAGCGAAGCAACCGCAACCGAGTGCGTTCTCCTGGCAGTAGCCGTTGCCTGAGCAGGCGTCGCAAATCGGGGAACGGCTACGGCACCCAGTTTGATTCCGAGGGTCATATGCGGTGTTGACATCTATCCCGAGTTTATCGAGAGCACCATCCAGAGACACCAGCCCGAACCCGGCAACACTATCTGCCTCGATGGCGAAGCCGACAGCCCCGCTGGGATACTTTGATGTCGACCCCTGGTAGATACTGAGGCCTTGGACCTCGATGTCTTCAAGACCAGTCAATTTGACGTTGCCGAGAAGATCAAAGGGATACTTGTAGACAGCAACGCTACTTTCTTGGGCAACGAACAGGTATTCCGTTCCTGTAGAATTCGAAGCATATGTTGCAACCCCCGTCACGTCTTCAGCAGCCTCGCCGAGATTGGTGATTTCTGGGGCAATAGTCGATTCTTTGAGATCGAACATGTAGACATCCTTGTCGTCGTCGGCACTGACAACCATCTTAGCCTGGGATTGCACCACAGCACAGCCAGAGAACTCAGTCGGAACTGGGATGCTTTGGACCTGATCAAGTTAGTGAGGAATGAATGATAAGAGTTTGAAGATGCACCCTCTCACCTCCACCAGTTCAATCGAGTTTTTGACTGGGCGAACTAGATACTGCACCGCCAAGCTCTTGCCAAAAAGATAGACGTAATTGTTCAAACTCTTGGTGCGCCACGAGCAAATCGCAGACCAATCCCCGAGCATCGTCACCTGCGCTGATTCAATTTCCGTAAATCCCGGCATCTCGTAGAGCCGAATGATCGAGTCCGGCATCGCAATCGTAAGCGCATAATCTTTCCCCGTGACGTTATAGACCGTTGTGATGAGCTTTGTTCGGCCAGTGGTCATGGACTTCACCTCGGACAGCGGAGTGTCGCCGTTCAAGTCCCACGCGTGAAACCCTCCCGTGGCGGCTCCTCCATCGTTTCCCAGCAGCAGCGGCTTCTCTGTCGAATAAAAGATGTTTGTCCAATCGGATTCGACTTCACCACCAGTCAGTGCTGTGATGTTGGCCACGACGTCGACCTTTGAGGCGACCGTTGCCAGCCAAGGATGGATCGCGACCGCGACGATGGCCGCGGCGCAGGTGAGGTACTTGAGGCCCATGGCGGTCGAGTCAAGTCGAAAGAGGGCTGCCTGGCATGGCAAGACATGCAAGCTGAAGGCTCGCCATATCAGGAGGAGCAGTCCATTTATCATGTCGTCTCATTGCCGCCCCCCCTAGGCGGGCTGATAGCGGAGGAGCGGGTGGCCCCACGCCCACAAGGCCGGGACCGCAAGCAAGTTCAGCTCCTCCGTCATGCAAAGACTTCCTCAGGCCACGACCTTTTGCCCGAATCTGCTTTCAATTGCTGTCTGGAAGACGGATCCGCGTGAAGGCCGTTTGTGATGGAACACTGGTGGTTCCCTTCGGGTGAAACGCGTGCATGAAAGGGAGGAAACAATTGGTGGACGCGACGGGACGAAGAATCCTTGGAGCTTCCACTTTTGGAGTCGTCCGTCTTGGCATTGAAATTTCAGGTTCCATTGTGAAGTCATAGGTCCAAACGAGGAGGTGGTTGAGAGACCTCTGTTTCTGCCAAAAAAGTAAATACCATGTGTCCAGTCAATACCTTATTATGCGGTGACATTGGGGTGAACTTCCGAGGTATAGAATTGGTTTCCCATCTTCTTCCCTTCGGAATTTCACAATTAGCTTGTGTTCAATGCCGGCCCGGTTCTACGCGCTCTGGTCCCGTCGCGGGCTTCAGACGCCAAGCCCCAGGTTGTCGCCATTTATTTTGGCTCCCCGATGTGTTAAATCAGATGTGACTGGACGCAAGTTGGCTTAAATCGAGTCCTCACCCTTTCTTGATGACGAATTGCCGAACTTCAAAGAGCGCGTGCAACTGATAGTTGCCGCGGCTGCTTCTGCTTACCTATATACCTGTGTCGGCACGATTTATATACAGCCTGGAACTCTAAGTGTTTGCGACTGAGTGTTCTTATTCAGGAGATCTACAGTCATTCAAAAAGCCACAAACCAACGAGAGCGTTCCAGACCGAGATGGTGCCGTTGGAAATCAAGGTCACACTGATGTGCGAGATCAGGTGGGTGTAGGCGGCGCGGCCTACGTAGTGGCCGGGGAAGATTGTCACGAACTAGGCGACACCGTTGTGATCGGTGAGCTGGGTGCCGCGGAGTAATGTACTGCTCATGCCGTCGGCGGCGTAGTTGCCACTGGTGGAAATGCCAGGGTAGATTCCGGTGTCATTTCAGTTCCAGATGTCGCCGGCAACCTTGGGGATGGGGTCGCAGGTGGCAACGTCGACTTTCTGGACCTCAAGGAAGGCGGGGACGCCGTCGCACGACTTGGAATCGATAACGTTGGAGCGCATGTACTCGCCGAAGATATGGTCAGAGCCATCAGTGATCTCAGGAGCCAATACGCAGGAGTTGTTCGCGCTGAAGACGTCCTCGAAGGTAACAAGATGGCGTTGTCACTGGGGCCGGCCTCGTTGTGGTTGACAGCCTCCCAGGCGGTGACCTCGTCTGCATCATGAAGGTTCTTGCTGGCAGCTGTGGAAATATTAATGAATTTTCACGAACTTATCTAAACGCCAATGGTAGCCTACGGGTCTTGAGTCCCTTCTTGACGCGGATTTCCTCAATTTTCTGGCACAGGGCTCAACGGCGCGCTTCTTCATGGCCTGAGCACCGGAGGTGTCGGAGCAGGAGTTTAGGGAGCGGTGGCCGTTGGCGGCAACGTTATCACAGATCTAGATGGTGCGCTTCATGCGGGCACGGCTATGGTGCTCACCGGATTGGGTAGAGACACAGCCTGCGAGGGCGAGGTCGGGGGCCATCGTTGATTTTGCTGTAGTACGACCAAGGTTGTAGCGAATGTTGGAAATGATACTAAGTATGTTGTTGCAGAAGCGACTACCATTGCTGTGATGGTTGCGGCTGATGATCTTAGATGAGAGATATCCGGCCCCAAGACCACCCTTTATCCAAACTCGTTCTCCGCCCATCAAGTATCTTCACTATCTACCAACGCGTTCGCCTCTGCGTGAGTGGACGACCGAGGGGACTTCGCTCTCATCCGATCCCCCGCCCAGCCCTACTATTTTCGATTCTTCCATCCAGAGCCCGCGATCAATCGTCTGAACGTCCGTCCAACCAGCACCGCGCAAAAGGCCATATGCTGCCCGTTGCCGTTGTGGCATGCAGGGCTTCTGAGCCTCACACACACGACTTCGTTCCCCGCTGGGGGCGCATTTGCGACTTTGGCGCCAATGCGTCTCCACACCGGTGCCTGTCCTTAAGCGTCCCTGAAATTCCTTAATTCAACTTCAGGGCACGCCCCGAGCGGGAAAGAAATACCTAGAGAAGTTTGACATGCAAAAAAGAGGGTGGTTCTAAAGTGGAGCCCCGCGGTCGACCCGGAATGGGAGCTATCTCGGGAGCCAGCTACTTATGAGTCTCCCACGTCACGTTTCATCGTTGTGGATCCCGATACAGGCGGAAAGGCTTCCCAACTTCGTTGACAAGTTTCCCAGCGGCACCGAATAACGAGGCCACTCTCCACTTAGCGGGTGGTGCCGCTGCGCCTTTACGCAAGCTTCAATAAAATTGGACTAAATTACGCTGACTCGAACAAACATGTTCAAAGTGACCAGCGCATCAATGAATGCGGAAATCTTGCGTAATAGACGAGAAGAAGAAAAAGAAACAAAAGAAGAGCTGACCCAGATAGGTGAAATGCTGATAATCAGCTTCGATTGACTTTGGACTCTTTGCATACAGGAAAGAATTTACATATACGCGTGTTCTCTTCCGGCCTGTCTTCGACATCATCATACGAGATGATCGTAATGACCTTGAAGGCCGACGCTCGTAACAACCTTGACAGCCGCTGTCACGGCCGATATAAATACCGGAACAGCATTCCTGTGTAAAAAGGCCGCTGAGCCATCCACATCCGAGTCATTCGGAATGAATCAAGAGTATGCCGGTAGCTAAACGTCTGCGCATCTCAGCAAAACAAAGACGACATTTACGGTTGCCTCTTTCGAATTGGCGTAGATTCAGTGAATCGCAGTCTTGGAGTCGACGCCAAAACCTCCTTGATTATAGATTTGCATCCAGAGCCTGGCGGGTTTTCAAGAAGAGAGAGGCTTCATTCACTTAACGTGTGCCGCATCACCCAGATAGCGAAGTTGGCCCCACGCCATGACCAGCCGACCGTTTCTGAACGGCCTCAAGGCCACATTCCATGAAGTAAAAGTGGACCGGATTCTCGTAGTATTACAGCAGTAGTCATTATTCAAAGAATCATGGTTGGGGACTTTCAAACGAAGCCGGGTGGTACCTTATCGGTAAGTAGTATCCATGTTGTTGTGGTTGGGCTTTAGGGTGATATTCATAATACAAGGTCCATACTTATGTAATTGACATGGGTGAACAGTATAATGAAGGCTCCATTTCTTAAGGCTGCGATCTCGGTGAGAGAAAGCTTCAAATAACGAAGCACTCATCTCAACCACAGTATTTGCTTTACCCACTCCGTCAACGCCAAGTCATAAGTCTTCGGACGAAAACAAACATGCATGCTACTACTCGTAGCCCGTCGAGAATCAACACAATGACAGATCTGTTGCCTTTGAATCCTCTCCACCACCGACGTATTTTGAGATCCTCAAGCTTCCGCCCTGGGCGTAAGGAAGACATTCACAGGCCCCTTTTCCCAGAGCAGATGGACTTGGCTCTTCTCGTCCCAGCCCCTGCATTCCTCCGATAGCTTCATGTCAAAATTCCAGACCATTCTGGCGAGGATAAGGCGCATCTCCGCGTAAGCTAGGCTAGATGCAATGTACCATATCAGTATCAAATCAAAGGAAAAGCACACACGTTGTGCAAGAGACTTGGATAACACATACTTCCTGCCAATGCAGTTTCTCGGACCGACCGAGAAAGGTTGAAACGCGTCCTTCTTATCGCCAGAAAAGCGAGCGTCATCGAGCCAGCGCTCAGGTATGAAAGAGTCGGGAAGGGTGAAGTTCTCCGGACTGTGGAAGACCGGCCAATGCCAGACCTGCACGAGAGTCTTATATCGCCTACCGCGTCAGCATCATCAACTATACTCTTTTTTTTCCTTTTCCCTCCCAGAGGAAATGGAACGGAATGGACTCACTCCACTCGGCACATATTGACCCAGGAACACGCCGCCATCGTCGGTGACCCTACGCACGATTCCCGTCGGGACGGGTGGGTACATGCGAAGGCCCTCGTTGACCACTGCCTGCATGTACGGGAGCTGCTGCACGGTGACCATCTCAATGTCATCTTCGGAGGTGAACGCGGTTCGGACCTCGTCAGTGAGCTTTTGCAGAGCTTGGCGATTTGTGCAGAGGTAGTACGTGATTGCTGACAGAGCCGTCGCGGTAGTCTCCGAGCCCGCGATAATGAGAACGGAGGAGTTGGATTTGAGTTCTTCAAAGGTGAGTTTCTAGGTACCACAGGTCGCGTTAGGATGAATAGACGGGGTCAATGGGGGCGCGGGGGGAGGGAGTTCGGGATTATTCTACCTGGGTGCCCTTTGTGCGCAACATGGAGTCCATAAAGTCTGGCCGCTCAGTCTCCATGGCGAGTCGTTTGGAAACCTTTTCTTGTGTGAGGGCCAAATGCTGCTCCCGCTTGTTTCTGAGATCGGCGGGGATGAAGTACATGAGAATCTTCTCGATGGGGGGGAACCGTCGCATGCTGTTCTTGAAAGAGTTGCCCTTGATTCCGTCGAAAATGAGCTTGACCCACGGATGATAGCCAGAATCGTCTAAGCAGTGGAACGGTTCCCCAAACGCCAAGTCGCCAATCACGTCAAAGGTCGTCCAGTTGTACCACGAGACCATGTTCAGAGCCTCGGAGCCTCCTCTGGCACATTTCTCGTGGAGTCGTTGGAAAAGCAGATCCACGTACTTTTTCACAATGGGCTGCTGGTCGAGCATGGACTGCGCCGAGAAGCCGTGGGACAGGGCTCGTCGGAAACGCGAGTGGTCCTCGCGGTTGGCGCCGATGATGCCGTGCCTGCTGTCCTGGGTGGCGACCGGATCTCGGCCGTGGTCGCCGGTGCCGTTCTTGAGGTGTCCGTGGAGATCTTTCCAGGCGTCGGGGTGGTTGTACGCGAGCTCGTTGGGGGCGACTCGGACAATGGGCCCGTATTCTTGATGCAGCTCCAATATCTTGCGGTGTATCTGCCCGGAAAGGTTGCTGCGAGTGAAGGGAATTCGCGAGGCTGCCCAGAGCTTCGGTCCGGGGTATTTGCGTAGGGGGTGGAAGAAGACGTTGTAAACGATGGTCCCAAAGAGGTAAGTCAAGCCCTATATGAGTGGTCAGATCCAGTTGGATTTGGCGTTTTCGACTAAAACAGTGAGACCCAATTGGATCCTAGCACCTTGGGTCAATACATTATCACATACCAGAGAAAAAACTAGAAAAAAAGCCGAACAGAGCGTATGAATATTCAGAATCTGGGCTGTAAAGCCAGTACTGAGGTCCGCCATGTTCGATGGTGTGGGTTCCTTGCGAGACCTGAAACTATCAAGGTGAAAACAGACGGGATAAACTTGACAGGTGGTAACGTCACTCCGAATTTAAGCCAGGCATCGATGCTCTTTTATCACCTTTGCTCGATTCAAGCGGCGGAATTCGGCACAAAGCTCGAAGCCCGAAGACCCCATGGACTGACCATCGCTCGTGAAACCACGGCGGCATACCGTTACATACTTGTGGAGGTGGATCAAGGTTATACGCGGTGTTGCGGCAGGCAAACGTCACCGCTGGTCGGGACTCGGATGGTCTCCGCGCTCTTGCACATTGAGTGCATAACTCGCCCGGCTTGTCCCGTTTCCGTTAAGTTGCCCCACTCGCAATCTAGATTCACGGCACTGATCCCCGTCCAGGATTCGGCAGTTGGATCCTCTTGTTACTTTCAAGCGTTCAGCGGGGGGTGACAGAGCGGGAGCATGTCCAACCAATGTCCACTCTGATCATGTCTCTTGTGTGTCCTGGTCAGGTGTCAACTGATTTTCCCTGATTGGTGCCCCCACTACCTCCGAGGGATGTGAACTGGCATCTGGGGTATACTCCTGATCGACGACTATGCCACACTTAGCCTTTGATGCTAGAAAAGCTGATCACTCTGGCATGGGAAATAGCAAGCCAAAGAGAAACTTTGGACCAAGATCCCGAATCATTCGATGCTGCTCTTCCGCCGTGGACGTCCATCACAGACTGGCAGTTGTCATGGGCTCTTGAACGTATCCTCGTTTTCGATGGGCGGCCAGAAGATGCTTTTGAGATAGGTAGTAGCGTGTATGGGTAAGAAATGCTGGGTGAACCCTCCGAATTGGTCGCATGTGCATGTGCACCAGCACCATTCCATCTGGTGGTGGAGAGTAGCGCCGTAGCAGGTTCTGGTTCTGTGCAGTGGAAAAGGACTTGACAGCTCACCGTTGACAGACCCAACGGCCTGCATAACCTGGTGTTCAGACGGTCTTAATTCCGGGTCGGATTTCGAGATTAATACCCGCCCCGTCTTCGGTTTTGCAGGTCAAAGCGCCCTGGGAAGAGTGAATGACCTTTTCTTGTGCAACAACAAACTCCGTCGCCTGACTTGATTGATCGGTTCGGTTCCTATTCTGCTCCGAACCGCCGGTGTGTACATGCTCCTGCGATTCAACGGCACGAGGCCTATTCCATCGACGCTGCCACATCACGACTTGCTACATGTGGGTTTCCCCAGCTGCTTCCTGAAGGTAAGGTGTGGTGTCTTTAGCCGCAGTGCAACCTGCTTTAGGGCGCAAATAGATTGGAGTGTCTGTTGTATTGTGGAGGACGGTGCGTGATGGTATGAAAATGCTCTAGATGTGGTAGAGGTCGAAATGCCAAAGGCGTTGGCACTTTGAGGATTGCTCAGCTTGCGTTTACATGTGGACAGGGTGACCGGGAAAACAACCTTGGGGAGAACGTAATTCCCTGCCATCTTCGAAACGACGCCAATTCCTACGGTATCCCATCACATCAAGTGCTGGATAGGTATTGGAAGATGGAGCGGGGAACAGATAATCATATTGGACGGCTCCGCCCAGCTAAGGGTACCCCAGATCCACCCGACCCGTCCCGGACAAACAGCGGCCCCACAGCGGGTTTCGGAGCGTTTGCCTCAGGCTGCGATACCACGATTGGCCGAACCCCTCGGCGGGGCAAGACCCTTGGAATGGTGGTGGTGGTGGTGCAGGCTAAGGTTGGTCCAAATTCTCAGCCCACTGAACGCCACCCTCCTCCGACTTGACCTCATCCCACTACCAAGCTTTCTCTGTCATCGTCAAAATATTGCGACAATCGGCCATGGCGAAGTCTAAAGCTGCTAAGAAGCGCAAGCAAACCGCGCAAGATGAACTTCCGCGCAAGGTGGTCAAGACCGCAGCGACGACAATTACACCACCCGACAGCGACGACAACACTGCCTCAAACCTCGAGCCCAAGAGCCTCCAGACGGTCATATCAGACGAGGAGCTCGACATCGCGATTGACACGCTGAACACACTCGCAAAATACCCGAACCTCATCAAATCGAAACAGTGTCGGGACCTTCGCGTCGCCGTCTATGACTTCCGTCAGAACTGCGCCAGCGGCGTCAACAATGCTCGTATGTAGACTCCGTAGATCGTACGATGCCATCGTCAAAACAGCTACTGACAATTGACTGCTCTAGCTGGTACAAACCTTGGCCTTACGGCACGAATTACCGGCGCCCTCACCGACGAGAAATACGACGACGCGAGAGTGCTGCTATCCGAGATGAGAATCCGCGGCCAGGAACCGAAGCTGGGAGCGCTCTGTCGCTGGGTACGAGACCTGGACGTCATCAGTGGCCTTTCCACCCTGCCAGAAGGAGAAGGAGCTGGAACCGCTATCCAGCGAACTGAAAGGGACAAGCAACGTCTCTTGGTTCTCGACGCCGTCTTGCGAGCCTGCGGCCACTCCGATAGTAATCCCAAGGCCATGCCCTTACCTCTTTCCTCGACACCCGGAATCGCCCTCCAAGACACCTGGGATCTCCGCTCTACCACGCCATCTCTACAAGTATACGCCTCTGTGCTTGACAAGACCATATTCGAATCGGCGCCAACCAATCTGGCTGCCTCTCTTCGCGTTATCGAACGAACACCCGGCCCGCTCCGGAAGCCGCCCAATCACCACGACGCACTTCTTTACACGACTGCACCAAATACGATACCCCTCATCGAAGAACGAGCACCAGTGACATCATACTCTCATCCTATTGTCCCAGGGCTTAGCCTTTTGAAGAACGTCCTCTCCGCAGATGAATGCAAAGCCATCATTACTGCCGGCGAGACAGTCCACTTCCTCCCGGATGCCCCTCTCCGCGAGGATGGGGATATCAGCATTCTCGCGCACAACTTCTACTGGGTTGTCGACACTACTTTCCACGATGCGCTGTGGTCCAGAGTGTCATCATTTGTTCCCCAGTCAGTCGGCGGACGACTAGTCCGCGGCCTCAACCGACGGTTCCGCGTGTACCGCTACGTCCCCGGTGCCGAATACCGCGCCCATATTGATGGCGCCTGGCCACCATCTGGCATTCTCCCCGATGACACGTATGTCTACGATGCATCTCCCGAGGAGAAGAAGCAGAGCTCCCTGTTTACGTTCCTCATTTACTTGAATGACGAATTTGAGGGCGGCGAAACAACGTATTTCCTCCCGGCCGCGCGGGAGGGTACACTGAACGCGTACCCCGTGCGACCGGTCATGGGCGGAGTTGCCATCTTCCCACATGGAGATGCGAAGGGCGCGCCTCTTCACGAGGGCACCGGTGTAAGAAAGGGTGCCAAGTATGTCATCAGGACTGAAGTTGAGTACGACATTAAGTCATCTGAGGAGCCATGATCAAGTACACTCAGAATGACAACCAATCTTACCTGTTATTGCGGGCTCTGGAGGTGAGACGTGAGCCTTGAACAACCGCGAGGCTCAGACCTAGGTCTGCATCTATCATGCAAATACCAACAGCCGACCCTAGCGCATATGCCCCGCTGTCGCAGTCGCTTCAGCGTCGATTCACCAAGGGCTCGATATCATGGTGGTAGTCGTATTGAATGTCTACTTGACTGGTGATAGACTCCGGCGTGGCCGTGAAGCTGTTATGGGTAGCACATACCCGGGTCAAGTTTTAGCAGTCAGCATCACATCATCGAGGCAACGTCTACCGATACTCTAGGATACTCTGTGATCGTCCTTCTTGGGCCACATATCGTTACCCTCATCAACTACCAAGTCTGAAGCTTTTCGGCACGGTGCAGGCGGTAGACTTGTTTGAATAGGCGTCAGGGCTACATTTGCTGGATATACAGCCATTGAAGGCAGTATCTCTATTGGTTTGACCTTCGCAGCTAGTAGAGGGCTGGGCCAAGTTTGTACAGTCAGCTAAAGCACGCACGACTGAAGCTTATCACCCTTGTCCATCTCCTGGGCTAGATGGACGGGCGCAACCAAGGAGATCATAATCAGATGTCATGAGGAATAGAGGACCATTGAGTTGAGCGGGATTGGGCGCCGGGGGGGAGCCAGGGTGTCGCCCGACGATGGACGTGGTGCCCCATAAATTCCAGGCATTAAAGGACTGTTCGGCCAAAGGATGGATATGATACAGGATAGACTTGGGCCCCCCTAAACATACGTCCGTAGCTTTTCAGGTATCAAATTCGTAAAAATATTTACATATACTTTCAATTTCCAGCCCTCGAATCTCCACTACCTGTCTCTTGACCAGGCCTGCAACTGACAGCTGGAATCCTAGGCTCTCAACTTTTGAAAGGAGCGCGAAGTATGCAATGAGAGTTGAATACACGTATGTTCTTATTTATAATCTTGCGCTTAATCATGTTTGCAGAGAACACTAGACCGTGGTCTTCACTCGGGGCGCCTTTACATCCAATGGACTCGTTCCAGGGCTGTTTTAGGTTGCATTGAGGATCCAGCCAACGGCCGTAATAATAGCATCAGAGAGTTACTGAGTGAAAGAGATAAGGCCGAGGAGAAGCGAACGAAAGCGGGAATGAACAGGCGCGCAGGCAGAATACCTAGATCACTGTCGCAGTAACGCCTCCGGTCCGGAAATATCGGGTCCCGGGAGGTAGAAGAGGGTGTCTCCCCGCCGCCAATTGTGCCGAAAAGCCGGGGCCCGGCCTGCAAAAGCGGCACCTCGGAGCCGCATGCACGTGGTGGGCAACACGGCCTTGGATTGGCCGCGACAAAAGGCCGCGCAATGGAGACAGCGTTGGAAAGATTTTTTTTTTTCCCCAATGCGAGGTGCTTGGGGTTGGAAATAATGTCTGCAACCTTGCCACGTGCTCTCATGTAAATGCTTGAGCCGCGCAATTTGTAAAAAGTTTTTTTGAGTTTTTTCTTTCTCTTTTAGTCTTCTTTTCCCAATCGAGAGGTGGTTCGGCGGTCAATCTACTGGCTGGGTCTCCGATTCATCGGAATGATTCATCGGGATTCATCGGGGACTTTTTGAAGAGCAGACGGGCTTACATGGTCTCATTGTCTCGGTGGATAGTGATTTTAAGAGCTAGCACGTGGTCAAATCAGGCGGCACATTGGCTCGAGGGTTCGCACAGAGAATGAGTGAATGAACTATTATTCCCATGTTGCACCCACAGAGTTTCTCATTATTGCCACAAGCACAACTGCACTAACTAACAATTTCCCCAAAGTACTTTAGCTCAGCATCAGTAGGGCCGCATGGGGGGAAAAAGTCTTGGCAGCAGACGGGAGAGTGCCAAGTGAAGTACCGGTAAGCCTCCTACGGCTGCCGAGAAGCGCTAGACTGCTTGGAAAAAGCTTAGCCGATGCGGCTAGGTAGCCAAGCCAAATCTTCCAATTGCCTTTCTTCCTGGACGATAACCATTGGCTGTTGCGGAAATACGACACGCGACAGCCTTCTGTGGTTCACCTTTTTTTTTTGGCCCTTATCGCAGCGTCATCTGTGCCACACTGCCACCTGTTGAACCTGTGGAAAGCGGGAGACAAGAGTCGAGAAAGCACATGAACTACTGCAAGTCTGCACGAACCAGCAGCTCGCCTAGCGGATGGGTAATATCGGGCTCCCCCCCTCCCTCCCTCCACTCGTCTCTCCCCGACTCTCCTTCAAAGTCGGTTGTTTCGTCCTCCCCAGGTGTACGAATGGTACGTATGGTACGTACGGTGTGTACCCGCACCCAGACAGACCGAAAAAGAGTATTGGGAATTAATTGCCAACTCCTCCCCCTCTTGCCGCATATCCGTGTCTTATCAGCATACTACCCGGTATTTGCCCGCAACTCTTATCCAATGTGGATCTGTTTTTTCTCAAGAGATGGCCAATAAGCCACTCGTCTGCCTCGAAAGAATCGCCCTTTGGAGGTGACTCGTGGGAGGAGGGGAGACCCCGTAGGATTCTTTCCCTTATGTTGCATCGGGGTTGGCCGCCCGTTCTTGGGTGTACCCGGCCCCCCGTCCGCCGGGGAACAGGGTGGGGTGGGACGGGACACCAGAGGCATTCCCATGGGTTATCTCTCTCTCTCTCTCTCTCTCTCTCTCTTTCTCACACACCAACACTTGCTCACACAGAACGAAGCAGCCAACAGCAGAACTGCTTCCGAGGGCGTGTGGTAAGTGGGGTGTGGGGGGGGGGAGGGAAACAAGATAAAAGCAACATGGGAAGAGGCCCTCTCCTCTGGTTGGCAGGTCATGCCGTGTGGCTAGCACCGACGAGCCTGTGATCGTCCGAATAAATACCTTGTTGATTTCCCCTGCGCTTCTTGACTCGGCGCGCCTATCGCCTTTTTAACCTTTGCGCCGCTCTGCACAACCTTCATCCTCCCTTCCCCGTCTCACGCACATACAGTCTCTCTGTGTTGCTGTCATCTCTCGATCATTTGCTCGTCCTTCCTGTCGCAGTCGTCGCTGGGTTTCCCTTTGACACGCGGGGCGCCAGCGTGAGCACTTACACGAGAAGAAGAGCCGCCCCCCCGGTCAAACTCGCGACGATGCTCAACTTCCGAGGAAAGAAGTCGGCCGAGTCCGAGGCTACGGCGCAAGAGGCCGTCGCCATCGACGATGCGCCCCGTCAGCCGTTCCGAAAGGCCATTGTGCCCGTCATTGCCTGCGGCGCCGGTCTCTTCTCCGACGGCTACATCAACAACGTGAGCGCCAACCCAACTCTTGACGCATTCACCATGTATTGCGGCCCTCTTGGTAATTAAAGAAATTGGTACTGACGCGCGCGCGCGCATGCGCCGGGGGTGCCACAGGTCATTGGATCCGTCACCACGGTCCTCGCTCTGCAGTACGGCGACGTCTACAAGAACTCCAACGCCAAAAAGTACGTCAGCGACATCGCCTTTGCCGGCACCGTCGTCGGCCAGCTCGCGTTCGGCTGGCTTGCAGACCACTGGTCGCGGACCAACTCGCTGCTCGTCTCGACTGTCATCCTGGTCGTCTTCACCGCGCTCGCTACCGGGTCCTACTACAAGGGTGAGGATATCGGCATGTTTAATATGCTGGCTGCCTGGCGGTTTTTCGTAAGTTGCAAAGACCCGACCACTATTTGATTTTTTGGCTGCTTTTTCCACCTGTTCGCTCGCTCCATTTGTTGGGGACTGGATGGGCGCTCAGAAAAGGCCAATTGTTAACGTCATCGCCATGACATTTTAGGTCGGCATCGGCATTGGAGGAGAGTACCCCGCGGGTAGTGTCGGCGCAGCAGAGTCTACCGGCGAGCTAAAGTCGGGCTCGAGAAACTTGTGGTTCATCATGTTTACGAACACCATGATTGATTGGGTACGTATTGTACAAGTTCCGGAACATCACTTGCCTTTTGCTGACTCGGTCAACTAGGGATTCGTTATTGGCGGTTTGTGCTACAACTTTCTTGATACCGGGGACATGATGATACTGATACATAAAAACAGCATTTGTGCCATACGTAGTCGCGGCCGCTTGCCACAATGGCCACTACAGCACCATCTGGCGCACCAGCTTGGGCATCGGCGTCGTGTTCCCCATGTTCCTCTTCGTCCTCCGTCTTTTCGTCAAAGAGCCCGCAGCCTCGACCAAGAACTCGATGCGCTACGCAAAGACGCCCTACCTGCTATCCCTCAAGTTTTACGGCTGGCGCCTCTTCGTCGTCAGCTTGATCTGGTTCATCTATGATGTTAGTCTAAATCTTGCTGCCCTAAAAGAAGAAGGCTCTCTCTCGGTGATGAATTTGTTCATGCTAATGTCCGAAATAGTTCTCCTCCTACTCGTTCGGAATCTACTCCTCAACCATCCTGAGCAACGTGTACGGCGATACGGCCCCGCTCACCACCGTCTTCGGCTGGAACACGGTCATCAACCTGTTCTACATCCCGGGTACCATGCTCGGCGCCCCGCTCTCCGACTGGCTCGGCCCGCGCTACGCCCTCGCCCTCGGCGTTATCTTGCAGGCCGTTGTCGGCTTCATCATGGCCGGCGACTACTTCAACCTGTCGCAGCCTAGCATGATTGCCGGCTTCGTCGTCGTGTACGGCATCTTCCTGGCGCTGGGCGAGGTCGGGCCCGGAAACAACATTGGCTTGCTGGCGGCAAAGACGTGTGCGACGGGTATCCGCGGTACGAAATTGCCCTCGTTAACAACCGGTTGAAAATCTGGCGACGCGTGCTGATGGAATTTCACTCAACAGGCAAATATTACGGCATCGCTGCGGCGATTGGCAAGATTGGCGCATTCGTCGGCACCTGGGGTACGTCCAAAATGGCTCATGAAATTGCGACGCTGGAGAGAACCCACGCTGACAAAAAGTCTTTTTTTTCTTTTTAGTTTTCCCCTACATTCAGGCGGCCGGCGGCGACAACGCAGTCGCATCCGCCCAGTATCCCTTCTGGGTCTCCTCCTCGCTGTGCATCCTGTCCGCGGCCCTCGCCATCTTCTGCCTGCCGCATATCGGCCAGGACACCATTGCTGTCGAAGACCAACGCTACCGGGCTTATCTGGAGGCCAACGGCTACGACACCCGCCAGCTCGGCATGATGCGCGGCGAGAGCTTCGAGAACACCGACGCTGAGATCCCCGTCGAGGGTCTGACGGAGACCACCAAGGGTGAAAAGGTGGTGGTAGCTTAAGAGGCCCATGAACCTACGTCCTAGTGATGCAAAGTCGTTTTGAAGCTCCTCATGACAAGGGCGAACGGTGAGCGTGGAAGAGTAAAGATGACGCGGGACGGGACAAGATCTGAAGAGCCGCGATGATACCACTTGTGAATTAAACCTGCTCATAATACCTATTGAATAATGTCAGACCTACCTCCTGAGTCGTTCCGCTGCCAAGGAAACAGCTCTCTCCAGTGTACTACCTGATGCTGAAGTCGGACGCGTTCAGGACTCGCCTTCCGCATGGCACAAGACTTGGCTTTCCAAAGGGACCCGAAATACTGGATGTCTCACGATGCATCACCCTCTACTGAGGAGGATATGGAGATGCGCCGTCGCATATTTTACGGATGCTACACTTCGTATAAGTTGATTAGTCTGATACTTGGACAGTCTGTTTATCTATTGTAAGATGACGCTGAGGTCCGAAATCACCAACAGACTCCCGTAAGTCAGAGATGAGATCTCCGTGATGATTCGAAACCAGCCGTAGAGCCGTAGCTGCGGTCATTGACATTCCTTCAACCAGCTTACATGACACCTTGATTCTGGCGCTTCTCAAAATCAATTCAGAATGATAACAGCTAACAGCTCCGTAACTGAGAGTTTGCTTGAGGTCCACGGTGGGAGACAGACAGAAAGTGTATGCCAAGACACGGCGGGTAGACCTTCATTCGATGTACATCGTAATCAACAGACTGGAAGATGACGGAAGCAGATATCCTAGTACACACTACCATCAGCGATGGCGTAACTGAGAAACCCCAGCCCTTGGAGAGATTGCCTCTTCCTATTTCATAGAACCCCCAGGCAGAGAAATCACTTCACAGCCACGATGGAAGGTTTCGTGAAACCGGAGACGAAGAGTATTCTCTCGGCAGCGGAGAGGAATTGCTCGCTCGCATCCCGATGGCGCCTTTCTGGTGACGTGACGTCCCCCAGGGCCACAAATCGACATGAGTAAAGCCGAAGACTAATACTTGTTGTGAATCCGGTCACCAAAGTGGTCTCTCAGAAACGACTCGCGGTAGATGAGCATGAAGTGAGGGAGGGTACTGCCATTTGAAGAACTGCATCAGTGCGTCATCAATCACTTTGTCCTGCAAGCTAATCCCGACATGCTCCGCCACGTACTCAGAACTTGAGTCGGGACCGGCGACGTGGCTCAGCAGAGAAGTCGAAAAACTCGCGGGAAGCGGCGCCCTCTGCTGACATCCCCAGATACGCGCGATAGATGCTCATCGCTCCGTGGGTAAATGACATGATGCCCTTGTCCAAGTTATTTCATCTCTTTAAGTTGAGTCCTGAGAGATAGATGGACCACTCCGTACCTTAGCATGACCTATTAACGAGGAGTGCTAAGCAGTAACAGTAGTATATTGACTATGCTTAGTCACTGCCATGCGTCACCACTGGCCACATCCCGAATCCCCAAAATAAAGTTCGAGGCATCAAGTGCCGACTTTGGGAATCCCCAGTCAAAGGTAAGTTTCCGGGAGCAGTTGTCAACCTTCGACCCACCCCCATTTCGCACCCAGCTACTCTCATTTGTCTGTTCGCGATATCTCGGTATCGGATTCGCTTTCTAAACTATGAAGTCAATGAAAACCAAAGAGGAAGTGAATATAAGAGTCCAATAAGCAACCTAATGTGTCGCTCAGAAATAGGGGGCAACCCTTGCAACTCTCATTTGAACTCGTAGAAACTGTTTTTCAGCGACCATTTTTGTGTCCATTCCCTCGCTCAGTCCCAGCCTAAGCTCGCCATGAAGCGCATTGAAATCACCGCACCTGGTGTCGTATCATGGGTCGATATCCCTACACCCGTAGCAGGCCCCAAAGACGTTCTTCTCAAAATCAAAGCCTGCGGTATCTGCGGATCCGACAACTTATACATTGATCACGGCGGCATCCCGCCGTACCAGGGATGCACTCCCCTCGGCCACGAACCAGCAGGAGAGGTGGCAGAAATTGGAAAGCAGATTGAGTCACCCGACATTGAGGTCGGCGATCACGTTGTGGTAGACACGATGGTATTCACGGACGGCCTCCTCGGCTCGGGCGGCGCGCAAGGTGCGCTGTGCGACTACGTCGTCATCCACAACTACGAACCTCGGAAGCACCTAAAGAAGATCCCAAAGAGCATACCCTGGCACATTGCAGCGCTCAACGAGCCCATGGCGGTCGCCCTGCACGCCGTCAACAGGACGAGCCCGAAACCGGGCTGCAAGGTTGTGGTCTTTGGCGCGGGGCCGATTGGTTTGGGCGCGGTTTTGGGGTATCGTAGAAAGGGGGCGAGCCATATCGTCGTCGTGGACGTGGTCAACTCGAGGCTCGAAAAGGCGCTCAAAGTCGGCGCCGACGCCGTCATCAACTCGGACGAGGCCGAAGACTTGGCTGCGAAGCTCGTCGAGTTGCAAGGGGACGGGGCGACGGCGCAGAAGCGAGGCACGCGTCCTGATAGCGACATCTTTCTCGACGCCGCCGGTGCGCCACCGGTGCCTGCGCAAGTGTGCAAGATGGCGAAGCGCGGGGCTACGTTTGGGGTGGTTGGAATCCACAGGAAGCCGACGGAGTTGAACTTTGCCCATTTGATTTCAACCGAGTTGACCATCGTCTTCAGCGTGGGCTATCCGACAGAGATTTTGGAGGTCACGGATGATATCATCGATAATTGGGACAAGTATGCGGAGATTGTCAGTGACCAGATTCCGTTTGAAAGGGCAATAGAAGCGTTGGAGTTGGCCAAGTCAGGCAAGGCAAACAAGGTTGTTGTGGTTTTCGACTAAACGCAAAGAGGAAATAATAGCGGTACACACCATTCATGATAGAAGCCTAGACATTGAGTGTGGTTGTCGTTTTCAGACGAAGCCAACATAACTGCCGGCCTGGCTTGGTTGCACATGTGCTCTTCTAAGAACCGTCAACCTTGACAGTCCCTCATACCCACCACCTCCCCAACAATCGATGACATCCGAGGAAAAAGCTTACACATGCGAAGGCGACCGCTACATATCAAAGAAAAATAAATCCTTCCAAGAGCAAACATGGTTCGATGGTAACAAGAAACCTGCACGCTCGTTTTGGAGACTCTTCGTCGAAAAGTCAGGATAGGAGACGTCTCGCTGTTGGCGTACCTTTTGTAGAATTGATTTCGATATAGGTTAAAAGTCCAGTGTTGAAGTAATAGGGACATTAAGTAAAACCATTCAAATCATCCCACCGTCACTTCCTATTTCATTACTGGGCCTCCAATCAAATATCATTACTAATGCAGTACAAATGGCTCTACTCCGGAGACGATCCATTCGTCTCATTTCCTTAGAGCTTCCCCATCATACGATCTACATAGTACTTTTAGTCTGATGCATTCATGATAATGAGATCTTGTCCAATATGCTCCTGAATCGTGAAACTCTCGTTGAGACTTTGCTGCAAGACTTTGATTGTAAAAGCAACTGGTTTGTAAGTTTCCCTACTCTTTTGAAGATCTGACCAGAGTAAATATTATAAAATGTGCCTCCTCACAGCTACTTTTACATGTATCGACCGGGCAACCTAATCTCGATCTCAATCGGATTTATAATCTCGACTCGGCCTACCATTGGGAAGCAATCAATAGATGAACCAGTCATGCTACAGGCGTGACTTATCTAAGATTTCATTTACAGCTGGCCGAGTGACCGAGATGAGAAAGTCGTTTATTGCGTCTACCAACCAGCGACGGAGGAAACCAATCTTCCGATGGATCAAAAATAACCAATGCTATGAGATTACCCTGAAAAGCGGACATGACGAAATTCTACAGCTTTCTCCACGGCACAGATCAGGAAGATTCACCTCACAGAAGATACACTGCCCCCTAAGAGTCTCTCAAATATTTAGCCATTCTGTGATGTATCCGTATCCCAATCTATTGGTCCAAAATGCTACGGAGGTAGGCAGTGATCACGCACATCGCCACATATAGCGCGGATCGCCCTCACCTGTGAAGCTTACGTCTTGCACTGAGCCTTGTACGCGTGTGATGGTCACGAGACAAATTGTCGATCTTCTCAATCTCGACGGATTAAAATTTTTTTTGATTCAAATTGAGGATGGCTTTACATCAGCCTTTTGATTATTTGGCTTCAGTCAAGCCATCTTGATAGTCACCAGAACAGTTCTCCTAGTTTAAGCATACAGATCATCTGACTGCTTGTCTGTATTTCTGGATTTAAATCAGTATGAATATGAATCTTTGAGTCCCCACTTTGGATTAATTTCCGTCCTGGAGATTGATAACTTGTTTCTTTTGAGTTTATTTCCCTTCATTTTCTCCTTCTCGTTTTGGGCGGCTTTTTTTTTTTTTTTTTTTTTTTTTTTTTTTTTTTTTTTTTTTTTGTTTTTTTTTTTAATTATTTTTTTTTTTTTTTTTTTTTATTTTTTTTTTTTTTTTTTTTTTTTTTTTTTTTTTTTTTTTTTTTTTTTGTTTTTTTTTTTTTTTTTTTTTTTTTTTTTAACGGAGGTGAAGCTTCATTGATGTCTTGGCACATTGTGTGGACCCCGTAGAGATATCAGCAAACACACGACAATTGTTCGGAACAGCTCGTCACGGTTATGTTCCTCCACTGGTAGTAAAAATCTAGAAGCTTAACAGTTCGTTCGATCATGACTAAAGATGTCTAATTCGATTTCAAATTTGCAGTGGGCCTTGCATCGTCTGCAAGCTGCTGATTGAAATTTCTTTCGTTTGAAATTTCTTTTGGATAGCGCCAAGATGTAAGCGCATCGTGAGGACCTAAATTTAGCACCCTGTACCCGCACCTCTTCTCTCAGCTGACCTGGAGACACCGCGAAGCTTTTGAACCTTTCTGGGCAAATCAGAAACCCCCCCATTTCGAGTTCCGTCCCTCTAGCTGCAAGGAAAGTTGGGGATAGCATTGGGTTTTGCGTGGGGTTGACGAAAGGCCGAGAGAACCCAACAACCAGCGAATTGTAAAGATAACAAAAGATGATGCTGATCCCTTAACTGGTGGCAGAACCTGGTGTAGATCATCCGCAGCTCGGCGTCATCTGGGGGGGCAGTGAACATGAAAACATGAATGGACGAACCGTCAACAACGGAATACTGGGACTGCAAGACACTTCCTCTCCAAGACCATACGCCAAGCAGAGATGTGAAACACGACAGCTCATCTTTGGAGTTTTTCTTGGGGTCTTGGGTGGTGGATGATCCAGTCGAAGAGAGAGACGCTTCACGGCACTGCTGCTGGAATGCGGTGCGTGCGTGTTGCCGTGGCTCTGCTGTTCTTGGCGGCGATGTACCGGCGGCGAATGATCAACTCTCCAGTAGCTCTAGTACCCCACTAGATATAGATAGAAACCCAAAATAAAGGCTTGATCGATGGATGGGGTCAATTGGCCTTGACAAGAAATAAGGCTGGCGGTTTCTGGAAGGCAACGAGATGTCCAAATCTGGCGCCAAATCTTTGTTGGCGCACGCCCACTCGATTGATGACGAGGGCGGACATACACGTGGAGGTTTGTGTTTTTCTATCTTAGCGGACAGTACCTACCTGCCTATTTGGAAGGCATTTCATGAAAGTATAGTAAAGTAATTACCATGGAGTACAAATTTGGCTTTCAGCTTCCTCGATTTGTCGGTTGGTTTTAGGGCGCCACTTGTGTGGGGTTGCTTAGCCTCTCGCCCAGCCCTTGTCCGGTAGCTGAACCTTGCCCCAACGCTGTTACAACTTACCCGTCCAAAGTGCGGTCATGTCCGTAAATATGCTGTCAACTGTAGCACGCGACACCTATCCGTCTTAGAGTCTCAACTTGTGACTGTCCATGGGCTAACAAGGGGCCCCAGGCGTATCGTATTAAGCTTTCCTGTGGATTCAGGGACAGCGAAGGAGGAATTTGCTCTTCTGACATGGTGGAAGAAACATGAGGTAGGGTTTTGACGAGCAACCCTGCGGTCAGCAAGGACTAAGAGGCCCCCAAGCAGCACCGGCCGAGAGCTCACGTTAGGTAATCAACGTTTGTTCAATTTAGACTTGTTCAGTGGGCTTTTGGCAGAAACAAAAAACTGCGGTCGATAATGCCCGGGATGCTGAGTCGCCAATTGAGGCTGGGGCAGCGGGGGGGGCTTCTTGGCTTCCTTCATCGAAATCCACTTTCGAATAGCTGCTCATCTGAGTGGGAGCCGTTGAGATGGAGACCTGCCACCGCCAAGAGACCAACCAAGACCCAAGCCTCCGAGTGACGATGCGCGGTCGCCGCCCAAGACACAGCCGCATGCTTCGTACGTGGTCTGTCACTCTGTCTATTCTGCCGTTCATCTATTGAGTGTTGTTGATTCATTGATGCTCGGCCCAGTAGAGAGTCGTCCGGCAAATTACTATATATCCGGCATCATCCCATCCTACTCTCTATTCCGACGAACACTTCACCAGCAATCCAACATCATCAACTACTTGCCACGACACCAATTCAATTGCAATTACTTGACCACTCCGTCCCTGAACTGACTTTCAGCCTCCCAAAAACAATTTTAACAGCCAAAATGCACTTCACCGGCGTCGCCTTGTCCCTCGCCGCCGCCGCCTTCGTCAAGGCCGACCTCCGACTCGACAACGACGACATTCCCAGCCAGTGCCAGGCCGTCTGCCGCCCAATCTACGACCTCGGCCGGGCCTGCGAGGTTGACGATGACCGGATCAACGACGACCTCACCGAGGGCCGTCTCGAGGCCCAGTGCGTCTGTACCAACAACAGCATCAACGTCTCCCAGTACGCCGCGCTCTGCGCCAGCTGCATGGACCAGAATGTCCGTGACCGGGATGACCTGGATGGTAAGCAAAAGAAATCAACACACTTTCAACAGCATCCCGTTCTTGTACTGACCCACATCGGCATAGACATCAACGATATCCTGAGAACCTGCGGCTTCGCCAGCACCTCCTACGCCTCCACTGCCTCTTACGCCTCCTCCACCCCGTCCGTCTCAGCGGCGCGCCCCACTAACTCGGCCCAACTCACCACCACCATAACTCCCGGCTCCGGCGGCGGCGGAGCTACTTCCCCGACCCAGACCCCCGCTTCCGGCTCCGGCAACAATAACGGCGGCAGCAGCTCCACCCCGGCCCCCAACGCTGCGGGTCTCGTGTCACCTCAAGGTCTTGGTGTGCTTGGTGCCGCCGCCATCGGCGCTTTCTTCTTGTAAATTTCGGGGCGGTTCGGGATTGAAAAGTTGGCTTTACGACCATCTTGAGAAACATGAATGAACTTTTGGGTTCTTGTATTCGCATTGCATTTGAGGCGCTTTGGCAGATATATATCTTGGCATTGACTGTCGTTTCAAATGCTCAATTCTCCTGAAGGGGTCTTGCTCTCTTCTGAGATATAATCAAAGGTTTTCTCGGACAACGTCATCGATGCTTGTAAGCTTTAAGCCCAATGTTTGATGAATGAGAGAGTTCCTAGGAATCTAAGAGTAGGAGACTCGCCGTTCCACTCTCGTGGTCTTCATTCAAGGTTCCTGAACTTGTAAGCGGTCACATTCATGGTCTGTTAGTGGGTGAAATGAAGTGGTTCGTTCAAAATTTCTCTGAAAAAGGCTATCCTCTTTTATTCGACGTCAAATTTCTGGACCTAACGTCTGAAGGCCTTGTGGAAATATCACATCACTCAGTTATGTCGTAAGAATCAACAATGTCAACCTCGCGCGATATTGCTTCTGTCTTGAAAGCGGACAGCAGACTCCACCTTTATGGCCATTGCAAAAGGTTCATGATTGAATCATCGGCATTTTCTTCAAGAGCGGCCGAGAGTGAAAGGGCAGAAAAAACGGAGCTGTATTGGAGAATGCGAAGAATGGACTTCTGCAATCTGGCACAGAAAGAAGAGTAAATGCATGCCCCGACATTCATCATAGCCCTGGCTTCTATGGCGAACTCGTGCAGTCTTTCGCCGTCATACTTCGTGGCTCTCATAATTCACCGAGGGTTCCTATCATTATTTTGAAACGAATTTCAACTTGAACTGTTTGTAATTCGATGTACTGTCTAGACTATAGGTGCTAATAGCTGAGAAGGTGATATTGGTTCCAAGTGACGCAGTAGAGGAATGGCGTAACGCGGTGTTGATACAGACATGGGGTCTGACAGTCGGGTAGATGTAGAAGAGCATGGTATGCCTCTTTTGTTCTTGTTGTCGATGTTGTCCTGATCAAGCTTCACCCCTCCAACAATCCATCCATCCTCCACCCCCCAAAAGAATCCGCACAGCGCTGTGACTTCACCACCAGCCACGAAATGTCCTGGAACATCTTCCAACTATATCAATCACCATCCTCATCCTTCATTCCCATCCTCAGGTCTCCTAACTCTCACCCTTCATCTTCTCGCTGCCGACACAGATCCAAGTATCATGCGGGCCGTGCCAATTCCACTGAACCTCGTCAAACGGCTCACTATCCAGCAGGCAGACATCTTCGGCAGCCCTGGGGCCGCCCTTGATATAGACAGCGTATCGGCAAGTGCTGCCATCGGAGAGAGGCTTCCTGCACAGATCCTGGCACTCGTTGACGGAGGAAGGGAGCGCCTTGTACTTTTCGCGCTTCAACATGTGGTGCGCGTCCACGTAGCGATCGTACCAGCATCGTGCGTGGCCTCGAGACAACGGGATACGGAGGAATCTCGATGCGTCTGTCGGTGTTGGGGCTGGAGGCGTAATCGAGGTCCAGACCGGCATGTTCTTGCTGAGGATCGGCACAGGGGGCTGGATGGCGATATCTGCGGCAGGTTGGGTTGCGCCGCAGGCGAGTGGGAAGATCCAATAGATCAATTTCCACTGCATCTTTGTCGTGGGGATCTGTAGACAGACTTGTTGAGGTCGTAGGTGTTTGGGGCAAGTACCTTACTGTGTACAGGAAGAGAGAGGTTAGCAGTGAGATGGAAAGTGATGCTTGGTATTGGCTATCGCAGTTTATGTAGGGGCGCGAGACTGAGAATTTGCGGCTTCTGAACTTGCCTCGCACCTCGATGGCCGAAGAAAATTTTGGTCTCAAAAGTCCTGCTGCCCTGATGGTCGGTCCAGTTCCACGGAAGTGCACCACTTATTCCACCCGGCTCGTACCATAAGACGAGACGGTCCCTTAAATCATTTGATTATTCTTGTTATATATTATTAAAAAGTCTTAATTGGAAGTATGGAAAAATTGGAGAAGTTCTCATTAATTGAAGAGTTCGGAAAAGAATACAACAGTCGACTCAATGGCATTAGAGACGAGGAAGTAGCGTTTCCGAGCGACATTGAAGAATCTCTTCCCAAAGTCTGAATCCCCAGGTATATTTCCTTATCAATAGTGCCGTATGTACTTGGTTTCATGTCAAAAAGGAGCACGGCTTATCCACACACCAGACCCTGAGATCATGTGAGGTGATGTTCTGATGATCAGGATCACTAGCGATTATCCAAATCACGTTGCTCACAAACTCCGCAAGTCATCGTCATGGGCTATTATCCAGCTGAAGCGGGGTCGTCTTACGTTGGTTATATCCCCTCTTGCGTGACCGCAACTTTTGCACTTCAAAGCACAACACCAAAAATAGTACCTATCTGGCCAACATCTCGACGAGTCTCTTGAAATCAAAGTACAAAAGATGGTCAATCTCCCATTCCCATTCAGCGAGATTCCTCGCGTCCGATTGCTCTATGATCGGCCCATAGACATTGAGCGGCTGGATCGGCTCGCCAAGCTCGAGGGGATAAGCACGACCAGCCTCTGGATCGCCCGTGACGATTGCAACTCCGGTCTCGCATTTGGAGGCAACAAGGTGCGGAAGCTAGAGTACGTTTTGGCAGACGCAATCAATCAAGGTGCGGATACTTTGGTTACGACCGGCGGAACCCAGTCGAACCACATGCGGCAGACCGCTGCGGCTGCAGCAAAACTAGGTCTGAAAGTGAGTTTTCAACCTCTCATGGCAGAGACATTTTTTACATTTTCTTTTTTTCTCCATGTGGTAGCGGTGCCTCCTCTGACGGGGAAAAACTCTGACGGACAATCAGGTAGCGCTGTTCCCAGTTGACGTGGTCCCGTCAGGGGACCCAGAGTACAAGTACGCCGGCAACATCCAGCTCAATGAGATCCTCGGGGCCGAGACATTTCCGGCCAACACCAGCCAGGACGACGTCATCTCCGCCCTGACGACCCGCGGAAGGAAACCGTACGTGATCCCTGCGGGGGCGAGCACGCACCCCCTGGGCGGCCTGGGCTACGCCAGGTGGGCCTTCGAGCTGCTCGACCAGGAGGACAGGCTCGGGGAACCCTTGGGACACATCATCGTGGTGGCGGTCGGGTCCGGCTCGACGCTGGGCGGCATGGTCGCCGGCTTCAAACTCGCGCAGCAGCTCGGCAGGAATGGCGCGCGGAAACGCCTGGTCGGCTACTCGATCCTGAGGAAGCCCGAACAGGACGTGGCGGGGTTGGTCCTGGACATTGCGCGGACCACGGCGGAGAAGATTGGGCTGGATCCCGCGTCCATCACCAAGGACGACTTTGAGATTGACTATGACTACCTTGGCGGCTCGTACGGCCACCTTGATGAGCGGACGGCGGACGGCATCAAGACGCTGGCGAGGGCGGAGGGGATCCTCACGGATCCGGTGTACACCGGCAAGGCGTTCACTGGGCTGCTGCACACGGCGAAGCAGGGAGGGTTTGACGGGAACGCGACGCTGTTTCTGCATACTGGTGGGCAAGCCGCTTTGAGTGCGTACCCGAAACTCAAGCAGTGACTTTCGACCTCTGCCACTGAGGTAACAATTATCTCGGAGCGACGACTTGGGCTGGTGGTAGTTTTTGACAAAGGTTTTCATATTCTTAAGTGGTATCTTTGAACAAAGGGAAAATAACACGCTTATACGTCCTCGCTCTTTCGAAGCATCTGCCCTACTCAACCTCCCTCCATCTCTTCTCCAAGGTCCCAATGACATGCGTCCGCGAGCCTGATCCATACTCAGCCATGATCGACTTTGCCTGTTTGCTGTACAGCGCCCCCTGAGCCTCAAAGTGGTTGGAGAACCCAAACCCGACGCCCGGCATGCCGTACACACCCTGGCTCGGCATAGCAATCTCCTTGACCTGCCCCATGGTCCGGCTCGTCGAGCTCGCGACGTTCAACATGTGCTGCTGGCCCAGCGCCAGCTGCGCCTCCATGATCATCTGCCGAATCGTAGGCACCGTCTCGACGTAGACGGCGCGGCGGGCCCTCGAGACCCGGAGGAGCTCGGAAGGGTCGCCGCGCGCGCAGGCCTGGGCGTAGAGGTTGCGCATGCGCGGGCTGTACATTTCGCACATGAGGCTCGCGGGGACGGTGGCGCCCTTGAGGGGCATGGAGGCCGCCAGGGCGGTGCCGCGGATGGACTCGTGGTAGCACGAGGGGCAGATTGTGCAGTCCTGCCAGCCGTACCACCGCCGGTTCTGAAAGTCCTCGTCGCGCGGGCAGAGGGGCAGGCTGGCAAACTCGAGGGCGTAGGACTCGAGGGGCTGGGTGTCGGCCGTGAAGTGGCACTCGAGGAGCTTCGTCATGTAGGGCGCGAAGCGCGGGTTCGCAGGGTTGAAGCAGCACAGGAGCGTCGTGCCGGAGGATACGCCGCACTTGGTTACGAGAGAGGAGCTCAGCCCGAGGGGCTCGGCGACGGTCGACACGCACGCGGCGCAGATGCCAAACTCGGCCGGGTGGGAGGGGAAGGTGTACCATTTGCCGTCCTTGATGCCCTGCGGGCTGCAAAACTCCTCGCTGCAGGCCGCGTCGAGGGCCTTCCAGAAGATGGAGTACTGCTTGGCCTCGGTGGCGCAGGACATGGCGATGCCAATGTTGAAGTGACCCAGCGCGCAGTAGACCAGGCTGCCGTACCTGGACGCGAGGTTGGTGCCGGCGTCGCACCACTTGCCCTCTTCGCCCGTGCCGGCTACGAAGTCACAGTAGCAAGCGGCGCAGGCTAGGACGCCGTCGTGGCCCGGGGTCGTCGGCGTGAACCACTTGCGGGAGGTGACGGTGACCTTTTGGCGCTTGGCGCAGGCGGGAATATTCATCCTGGCGAGAGCTTCCTTGGTGAAGCCGGGCCAGTCATCTTTCACCGCCGCCTCCTTGTAAATGTTTTGGATGTAGCGGGTGGAGAGGTCGCAGGACCAGACGTCGTTGGTGGCTTGTCCCGTGGCTTGTTCAAAGTTGGCCGCGAAGCGATACGGCTGGATATGGTCCTCGAAACATGCCTGGCAGACAACCATGTTCGGGACGGCGTTATTCTTGGGACGGTACCACCTAGCGCCCTCGCTTCCCTTGGCTCCATCAGCTCCCCTGCAGTCAGGAATGGCGCTCCTGTGAAGGAGGAAGCTGACGAGGTCCTCAATGCGTCCCGTGGCGAGCGTGTTCCGGAGAAGATGGTCCTTGACGCGGGGTTTGCTGAAGCGGCAGACACGCGGCTTGTTGTCGTCGCAGATCTTGCCCCTGAAATCGTACTCGAAGCGGGTGCCGACGAGGTAGTCCTCGTAGCACTTGGAACAGATGGAGAAGTCGGGAGCGGTAGGGTGGGTGTACCACGTGGTGCAGAAGGTTACCGGGCTGTCGATGCAGGCAACGACGCCACGTCCACGCTTTCTGCTGGGCGGGCTGGCCCTGCGAGAGTTGGCGCGTGGTCTGGTAGGCGACAGCGTGAGTTCCTTCTTCTCCGGCGGCGGCGGCGGCGGTCCTCGAGGAGTGAGATCCAACGGCGTCACGGGTTCCGGTGTCGGGTTCGTAGAAGGAGGCGTGAAGCACGATGTGGTGGTGCTGGCGGTGAAGTCGGGAGTAGAGAGTTCGTCGCGAGGGGTCGACGGGGCGGAGTAGATGGTTGACAGCATCGGCGAGGGCGCAAAGCGCAGGTTTTGGAGAGTCTCTTCGAGGTTGTCAAAGTCGATCACGCCAGGCCGCGGTCCAGCCGCCCCAGCGCTCTTTGCCTTTTCGGGCGGTGTCAAGACTCCGTTGGCCGCACTGGCCGGGATACGAGCTGCAGTGGCCTTGCTCTGTGCATGTAGTGGTTGTTGCCCTGCGCCCGCGGGGAAGTAACCGGCGGGCTCCCTCTGAGGCGGTGTCGGCGGTGGCGGAGGAAAGCTGGTGAGGGCGCCGGGTCCGGGGCTGCGGAGGTCGGCCACGCGGCCAGCGCCGGAAAGGCCGGATGAAGAAGCTTTTGGGGGCGCTGAAGGGCCGCTGGGTCCGGCTTTTGGTGCCGGGCTTGCGGGCGGCGGGACGTTGAAGCTGGTGTAAGAAGGGGGACTCGGGTTTCCCGTCCACTGCTGCACCGGAGGCTGAAGTTTGTGAGAAGAGACCGGGCGGACGGGCCTCGGTGCTGCGATGGGAGTCGACTGCTTGGCTGGCTTGGGAGCCGGAGCCGGTACCGGCGCATGAGTTCCCTTGCTCATAGTCGCCGAGCTGGAGACTTTCTCGGTCTGGGGCCGGGAGCTCCGGGCCGGCTGCGGCGGGGGCTGTCGATGGTTCATGCTGCAGACACGGGCCGAAATGATGATCAAAATAGTTCTCCACTGCAAATATACAAAATGACGATGGCTTCACCCTCTTTTGGTCTGGTACCGAAGCGGGATGGGACGGTAAGGATAGGCGCTGAAGATCTCCCCCAACGGAACAGCAGAAACGCAGAGTAAAGTAGACAAGGAAAGGTCTTGCGGGAGTCATGCAACATGCAGCCGCCCCGGGACGACGTGCATGTTTAAAGGAAGCTTCGAAAGGGAGTAGTCGATGGGCTTCATCTGAGAGAGCGGCCTCGAGTTGGTGCCCGATGGGCGGAATGCCGGGATGTTCGTGGAGATGATCCACACCACCTCATGCCCGACTTGCAGCGATCGCCCTGGGACTGGGGGCTGGAGGGGAGACAAGAGAGCGAAGGGCTTCCTTGACAGTCTTGACTAGTAGACCCGTCCGACCTCGTCTTCATTTCCCAATGGCAACGGGAACCTGTTTACTGTGACGCAGACTCGCGGAGGAGCACGAGGCTTCAGGCTTCGGCGGCTGTGGAAGAAGAATCTAGGCTGCATTCCGCGGCTTCGGGGATTTTCTTTTGGCAAAGACCTTTTCGCAAACAACGACTAGGGCTTGGACAGGGGCTTTGGCCATGGAATGCGGTGAAAGCAGGTTGCTTTGGGCGTGGGAGTTTGATTATCGGGCGTCAAGAGTTGAATGTTGTTGTTATTCTCGAAGGCCGGCAAGGGCTCTGCAAGGCTGGAAAGCAGGCTTTACTAGCTTGTTTCCCTTGTTTTCCCTCGTTTTCCCATGGAATATTTTCGAGGTTGGGCTCCTCGCAGGGACACCGTTGGGACGAAAAGTTGAGATGAACGATCTATTCATGAATCGCAAACTCTGCTAGTTTGACCAGTTGCCTCCACGCACATACCACTGCCCTGACTCCTCCAAAGTTCCAACGGTTCCCCTTCCTCTTCTGCCCTTTACCTCTGCTCCTGCTCACCTTATCTTCCCGCATCTTGGATCAAGTGACCATGACAACGAATATGAGTGAAGCACCGAACGAACCTCTTTGCAGATGGAGGAGAGGAGAAGAAGGGGGGGGGGGGGCTAGAGTTTGCACCACCCGTCAGCCGAATGTGTAGCACACCCGTTGCGGGAGAGCGGAAGCGATCGAGGCGAGGCAAAGCACAAGCACGCCAAAGCTGCGAACAGATTTCCCCGGCGGCGCGGGCTCATGCACGGCGGACCGTCGTCTTGGGAAGAAAAGCAAAGAAGAGGGGGCAAAGGACCAAGTTGAATCACTGTGGGAGGGATGAGGGGGTCGACTCAGACGCAAAGTGCAAAACTCCGGCGCCAGCATGAGAACTCCTTCGCGCCCAAACAAGGCCTTTCTTTAGTACCCGGTGGCTGGTTTGCACATGCCCGTCTTTTTATCTATCTGGTCTGGATGCGCTAGGACCTTTCCTTTTGATGGGGGGGCTAACTTGTTCGAGGAAACACAGCCCGCCGAGTGTTTTCTTCATCGGGGGTTTTTGGAATGGTGAGTCGGTCACAGTCGCGTCGGACTCCCCGGCTGAGCCAGAAGCACATCCCAAATGTATGGGCAAAACACGACACCGTTTTCCCATTCCAGCTGCGGAATTCCATCTTTGAATATCTTTTCAAGTTCTTGTCAAGTTCTTCTCTCACTCTTAATCCGGCCGCCTCAACCTGTACCAACTCAGCTGCCTCTCACGTTGGTTCCTATCTCAGATAACCAACACCGACCTGATCCTTGCCCCTAAAACCACGGTTCCATGGTGTAGATTGCTTGGACGTGCCAAAGCGGCCTAGTCCAACTGTCCGTCACATCATCCCCCCAGGCCGCGGGAAATTATCACAACAGGGGTACCACCACTTCCGGCTCTCTTATATAGGTCTTTTATCGATGGAGAAACCGCCCAGAGCAGGGGGGAGGGGAGTTTCCTAAACAGATCATGGATTCGCGGGACGGTTGACTCTGTTTGCCCACTTTTCGTTTCCCTCGCCTTTCTTCCTGTTTCTTCCTTTACTCTCATTCATTCAATTACGTTCGTTCAATTTCATTCATTCACTTGAAGGCGAAATATCCCACAGGACGGTCATTCCTTTCCGCTTCAGCGTGACGGGGGTGGGAAACGGCAGAGGCCGACACAATTCATTCGCGGCAGCGCACCGCATTGCGCTCCGGGGCGCGCCCCCTACAGCTCGTTTAAAACAACGTCGCATTTGTTCGAGATACATTCGTTTCTTTTTATACCAGCCAGAGGAGGCTGTGAAACTCTGTCTCGTCCCGGGAAGGCCGAGACGATGGTGCGGGATCTCGCCGTATAACCCAACAACCACAACAGCCTTGCCAAAGAAAGCAACTCTGGCACCATTGCAAGCCCGCAAATCTGGTCCCCAGACTGCCACGAATCGAGGAGAAATTGGGCACTTGGGGGACTTGAAACGTCCAGGCCAGGTGGCAATAGGATCATCGGGGAACAAGATGATGAACGACCGCCCTCCCCCGCCGGACGAACCGGATCCGATCGTCCCCCGCGACCTCCAGGCCAAACGCACCGTGCCGTCGCCCCGCAAAGCAGCTACCATCCGGAGCGCGAAGGGATCCATCTTTGGAAAGGCGTCCATTCCCAGCGTATACTGGGCCGGCGACGACACGACACCGATGAACAATGAGGAGTTTACCTTTTACAGAGAGGGGACACCGCCGCTGCCAGAGGGCGACAAAGCTGCCCGAGCGCGGGGGTTCCGGCAGAGCGCATTCGATCACGACGAGGAGGACAGTGGCCGGAATAGGAAGCGCAAGTGTTGCGGCATGACACTGTGGGTGTTTTGGTTGCTCGTCGCGCTGATCGTTGCGGTGGTTGTCGGAGTTGGCGTCGGCGTCGGCGTCGGTATCGGCGCGAACCAGAAGTCGGATCAGTCTGGCGGGAGCGCCACAAAGACGAGGTATGTGATTCCCTGTCTTGAACTGAAGTTACCCGTTGTGTCGTCCATTAACAACTCTTTTCCCAGTTCTGCTTCGTCAACGACGGGCGCGGGCTCCGCAACGGCAACACTATCAATGATCGTGCCCACAGTGTCCAGCTCGTCCGTGTCGCGAAGCAGTGACGCAACGGCGACCCCGACAGCGACGGCAACGGTACCAACCTCGGTCACCAGCAGCTCTACGTCGGCTCCGTCTCCGACGGCGACTTCGAGCGGGAACGCCATCTGCCCGGACGCGGATAACACGGTGTACAACGTCATCGGCTCCGACAAGAGGTTCCTCCGGCTGTGCGGTGTGGACTACAGCGGAGACGACGGCGCCATCGATATGTCCAACACGCAGGCGAGCACCATGGGCGACTGCATGGAGATCTGCTCAAAGTCGGCTCAGTGTACCGGTGTCTCTTGGGGTAACGTGATGATCAACGGGGCGGCGGAGCTGCGATGCTGGCTCAAGCGAGACTTGAAAAAGTCTCACGAGACTGTGGAGAACTGGAACTTTGCGATTTTGTTATGATGTAGAAATGGGATGGTATGGGGGGATTTCTGTAGATATTGGGAAGCATATACTAATGATAATGTCAAATGCTCAAAGACATGGAGGAAGCATCGAGATACCAGGAGGAGCGGGCGTATACGGAGTCATAGTGCACAGCATCAGGCAAATGGGGAATGAAAGCAAGCAAATTTCTTCATCATTTTGTCTGATATCTCCAAACGCCGTGAACATCCCCCGCTCCATCATGATCCTCATTATTTCCTCCTCAACTCAAGCAACTCAAGGTATCAACTACAAGTGTCAATGAGAACTCTCATCCGCAACAAAAATTCATTACCCCAAGTCAAAAGCAAATATTGTGCCCCAGCTCTCACTGAATGGCAGCAACAACAAAACCAGCCATAGCCGCCGCCGCAACGACCGCCCCGGTCTCCCTAGGCCGGGCCGCGTTGTGCGATCCCCCGACACCGTTTCCTGACCCACCCCCGTTGACCGGGCCGGCGCTGGTAATCTGCGCCACGACCGAGCTGCACTGGTTCGTGCCAGTAGGAAGGACGTCGACGACGCCCGGCACGTCGCTGCAGGCCTGCCACAGCGCGCGGAAGTCGGTGATGTGCTTGTCGCGCCACGAGGTGTACGACGAGGCGTAGGTCGAGTAGGCGGAGCCGACGGAGCCCGTAATCGTCGGGTCGGAGCAGGCGTCCGTGATGGTCACCGAGAGCGCGATGTAGGCGGCCACATCGGCGGGCGGTGTGGGGACGCCGTCGGTGATCTTGGGGAGGAGGGACGTTGCGACCGAGTTACAAGAGTTGAGGTCGCGGCGATCCTTGATGGCTGCGTTGGCGGCTGCGATGGCCTCGTGAGCCCGGTTGGGTACTTCCAGTGCTTGGAGAGCGTTTGCTGTGGCGCTGAGGGCCGCGAAGATGTAGGTTGAAGAACGCATTTCGAGAGTTTGTGCAAGTGTGTGTGTGTGAGTGTGGATGATGTATCTGCCTCGAGAATTCCGGGTGACGGACGGGTTGATATGGCCGCGGGCGAAGTCGCCGAGGCGTGACACGGGCAAGGGAGGTGACGGTGAGTAATGACGATGATTTATAAGGTGAATGCACGTTTTGATTTCGTCTGGTCCTTAACTTTCTGCGTGGATAAGGAGCGATGGTCGTCTTATATCAAATTCACCGATGTACTCTTGCCTCGGATCGTGTGGCTTGGCGAAGGGCCAATGGTCTCCCCTGGGTTTGCGCGGTGAGGTATGTGGCTATGAGGAGGCCAACTCGCTGTGGCGATCTCTGATCTGCATGAGCAACGGGAACGACGCAGACTCGTTCTGTGACATCTCAAGAAAAGCCGCGGCAAGGAATTTGTATGCTCAACTGCTTCGCATGGTGAAGGACGGATTTCCACCTCTGACTGGCATCCTCGGCCCGCCTTCTCATCATCTCGTGTCGGGGCCTGTAAGACGCGCCCCTCGCTCAGCCTCCGCTACGCCGGACGCGTTTGGGAGAGGTGACTGGGCGGACTTAGCGTCAAAGCCAAAGTGTCAGGAATGTGGCATTCCCATTGGCATGCGTGTGAGGCCGGGGAATGAGACATGCGCCATCTAGCGTTGAGCGCCGGGCAATTCGGTGCCTGCACCTTTTTTCCCTACCATTCAGCCTTGATCCACAACCTAACTCATGCTATCTGGACGTTTTCATGTCGACTGTCCGTCTACTGTGGCTTCTTCATGTCTCGCACGATGTTAGCCTTGCCCGACAAGTGGGCTGGCGGTTTCTCACCTTGCGCCCCGTGGTGGTTGAAGTGTCAAACGCTTCGATGATCCGTGGCACCGCCGGGAGAGGCAACGGCGGGACGTGCTGGCCAACCCTGAGGGAGAACACACGATGAACACCGCCATGTTGCTTTGACCAACAAGCTGGCATTTCCTCTGACACGAAATCAATCCGATCTTCGGCGAATTATGGTATTCCACATCTCTGAGTATCCCCCACCTAGCCTCAGCAGAAGTCGTACAGTACGTCATTTTGTTTCCTCCTTTTGTCCCATTTCTCCCTCAAGGTTCACCACTCGCATGAAACAATTTGTCTCAAGGTCCCTCCAATGTACAGCATTCCAGCTCCTTAGCTTCGGACTCATTGACCGCCTTCGAATGCCTTGCATAAGACTCAAAGAGCCCCATGAAGGGGATGATGAGCAAGAATATTGGGACGAGCTGACTAAAGACAAGCTCATTTTCTTCATGATGAGCGTCATTTTCCATCTCCTGGCTCACGCGCGACCTATCGTCGATGAGCGAGTATGACCTAAGCATGAAGTATAAAGTCGGGCTCAATAAGTTCCCGACTTTAGATGCGAGGAAGTACTAAACCGCCAGAAGCGATGTTCGCATCGTCTTTAAAACGTGATATTCAGTCTATCGCTTGAAGACCGTCTCAGATTTCAAGATATTGATAGATTGGCCTTGCTTGTTGATTATAAACCCTCTGATGTGGTCCATCTAAAAAATACGACCGGTACGCCATCAAGGTCATGTTGATCACCATAAGCTTTGAGGTCTCCCACCTTTTAGCTTGTCCACAGTGTAATTTATCGGGCAACTAAACTATCCCTTGTCATAGATTCCTTCGTAGCCAGTGACCCAGAACGCGTACTGGAGACCTACAAAGGTGAAGGCCATCAACATAATCCGTAAGGCGCGAGCGAGACGTGCAGCTATTTCGGTCGACGATTGTGTCGCATCATCCATATCGTCAGTTGCCTCAGACACCAAGTTTTCCTCACTTCTTCTTCTGGCCCTTGGAACTAGATACTCACCAACAACGCCATGCTATCTAGCCGCGATAACCGAAAATCAGCACCACCAGCCCATCTAGGACTTTTGAGAGACGAAACACTTGTTCTCCGGCAACTCCTTGGATACAGCGTTGTCGATTCAGTACCAAGTTTTCAACCAAAAAGCCTTGATAATAGGCTTCAGCGATCTTCCATGAGGGATGTTCTCTTTGTCGGGCTCGATATTGACACATATCAAGGATACGAGCAGCTTATCGCGGACCAACAGCTACATATTGGAGTCTCCATATTAGACACCAGGATTCTGGAAGACATGCTTTTAAACCCAACTGCAGCAAATTATCAAGAAGCTATAACATCATATCAGTTCACAGTGGGAGAGTCGGCTTATTGTCAAAAGGCATCAAAAAAATTCATTTTCGGCTTGTCACAACCTGTCGGCATTTCCGAGCTTAAACCGAGAATGGATGTTCTACTATCAAAAAGGGACTACATTCTTGTCCTTCATGGTACACACTCAGACTTCAAGATTCTTCAGCATCTCGAAATCGATCTCCCAACTCAATCACTTTACGTTATCGATACCAACAAGGCTGCATAGTCTCCTCTTGAGCTATACTATCGGTATAGCTTGGAGAAGTTACTCGAAGCATTACAAATACCCTATGCAAACCTGCATGCCGCTGGAAACGATGCTCACTATTGTCTACGAGCGCTACTCATGATAGCGGTATTTGATGCCGAGCGAAATCCGTCAGGGCATCATGAAGCGTTACTGAACCTGCTCAGAGCCGTAGCACGGGCGCCTCGGCCATTAACCCGGGGGGAAATTCGGCAAATGGAAGAACCTCAACACGCAGCCCATCGAGAAGCAAAAAGCCAGTCAAAATCCAGAAGAAAAGCCAGACGGGCGGCCAGGACCAGCAGAAGACTTCTCGAAAGGTTGGATCGTGAGAAAGGGCAGACGCAGAGTGAAGATACGGATCTGATGGCACAGCCTAGTCCCCTGGACATTGGAGATGAACCCGAGGGCCCTGGATGAGTGCACATTGTGGGCTAGGAATGGCCATATTGGTTGTGGGGCGGGATACCAGGAGCACAACGTCACAACCACACGAGTCAAAGTATTGACAGGAATAGTCATCGACGGCCAATGGGTAGACTGAGTTGTCGCTGGTATTTAGACATAACACGAAAGCTTCTGGGAAATAGAAGTACTTCGTATTCCTGAACGCTATTAGGTTATCAATCGTCATTCTGTCTGGTTTTCGACCGTCAAGTTCGGACCTCTGATGAAGATGTCCCGTCGTCTGTCACGAATGATGCTGAATTGGATACCAGCGCGGCTGACGAGGACCGGGACAGGCGTTCTTTATAGCTTGGCAGCGGCAGATCATTCAATGAACACATCCTGACATGAAAAATTGCTCAAAGAAATCGACATTAAATAACGTGGCACCGATAAGGTGCCGGACGCTCCACGCCGGCTCCGAAAAGTTTTTCGCAAACCACGGGCCCACTCGAAGAAAACTTACCCTTTAGCTCGCGGACACAAAGGCCCTCACCTGAGAGCTGAACGAAAGAGCCGCACTGCTTGCAACCAGAATAACCAGTCTAGCCTCCCCGTCCCCAGACTGAAATCTGAGAGGCTGTCATGTCTCGCACGTTTGACAAGCGCCAGATTGCCGCTTGCGTCGCATCGCGGACATGGTCCGGAGGTCTTATCCCAATGATGTGAGGCATATCAATCCCGACCGGTGGGTCCGGAGTCGGAGGATACGGCAGAGGTATCCACACATCTTCCGGGTCTCCCACCGAGTCGGGCCCAGGGTGACGTACGCGTGATACCCATACTTCTTAGATACAGCAAACCTACAAGTCGGGTACTTGTAGTCACGTAAGTACCTCTTGCGTCAACAACTTCGGTTCGGGCCTTTGGGCCTACTTGGGTAGGTGTGCTGGACCCTGGTTGCCTGGTTGGCACTGTTGCCCACATACCTTATGTAAGCTAGCCCTTCACATTCAGGTCCGAAAAGAAGAATGCATTGGAAGAACCGTCATGACACGGGATTCTTTTGAAGGGTTCAGGTCGACTTGCTTTCGCAAATGTTCGCATTCGTTCTGGCATCTCGAAGTCATCCCTTTTAGTCAGCGGCTGCATGGGCCTATGTCAAGGTTTCATGTAGCCGTCGCGCCGCCGACTTTTCACCTTTCTGCGCATGCAAGGCATCGACAGCATGGGAGCCCGAGATCATGCGCCGAAGTTGCCGATCCAGAAGGTGCTCAACTGAACAAGCTCCTCTTAGCCTCCTTGTAAAATGCTGGTAAATCTTTGGAGCTATCCATGGATGACACATCACCAACCAATTGCGATTCTGATGACCAAGTGCCGAAAGCCTAATACGTAAATGCAGCTCAAACGTTGATAAAAAGTCCTTGAGCGATTGGCCAGAGCTTCTCATGTCTTCAACTTAATCACTGCCTCGGCTGAAAGCCCCATTCCGTGTGATCTTGGATACATAAAGCCCGTCGGACCTCAACCACCTCTCTCCCTGTCTACAAGGCACTCTATAAAGAATACTCTCGACGGTATCCTGTGGATTTGAATTTCACCATCATGACAGCAGTATCCCACTCGCAGTCGTTTGCCGGTCTGGAGCCATGGAACAAGGGCGAAGATACTGTCTACGCCCTCAACCGTGGCGACCTCACCAAAGAGCGTGATCGACTCGAGTACAACCACAAGAATATCTTTCTGCCTCTCTGCGGCGGACTCTGTCCCCAGGAAGTCTTGACGCATCTCACAAACCAGCAGACCCCACGCGTCGCAGAGATCGCCACCGGCACTGGTATTTGGCTCAGAGACATGGCCAAGTTGCTCCCCCCTTCCGCCGAGTTGCGAGGCATCGATATGGACACCACCAAGTTTCCACCTCCTTCAGCTCTGCCTCCGAACATTTCTCTGCTGCAACACAATGCTCTGAAATCATTCCCAGATGGAATGCATGGGTCATTCGACATGGTTCACATACGGTTGATTGGGTCGGGAATGCGGAAGGAGGACTGGAAAACCGTGGCGTCGAACGCGTTTACCCTACTGCGACCCGGGGGATACATCCACTGGGAGGAAGCGGGTGAGACTTCTTGGAAGTGCGTCCCGCCTAGTTGCGCTTTCGATGAGTGGTCCAGGATCAGGCTGCTGTGGTCACTAAAAGTCGGCCGCAATCCTTTGTAAGCCTTCACGAAGCTTCTGCGTATATTCTACATGGTTTCTGGTTTCCTATCCTGTTCTATCATGATAACGCGATGCAGTATGCCCGCGCAACTTCCTCTTGTGCTCCGCGATGCCGGCTTTACGGATATCGACGAGAAGGTCTGGAACACTTTCGGCATCGAGGGTATGATGCGAGAGTCGATGAGAAAGATAGCCACCGAGATCATTCGGCCGGTGATGCTGTCTATTCTTGAGGCTGGAGGTGTTGACACCCTCCAAAGTTCTCAGGACATTGACAGGCTCGAGTCCGAGATGGAGAGAGATATACAAGACGGGGCTTTGATAGGTGTTTCTTTAGCCTGGTTTTGGGGCAGACACCCGTGAGTTGACTGGAACTTCTACCTGAAAGAGGAGGACCATGAGGCACACGTCCAACATTCGTCGAGGACTTGGAATGAAATGAAAGGTCATGAAGCCCCTACCATAAGTTTGTGAACATACACTGTCAAATTGGGCGCGGTCATGTATCCTTGAGAAAACTGCTAACGGCTTAGACGCCAGGACCAAGTATTTGAAATGATTTCGATCCACTGGTTAGGAAGATTCTCAATCATGATTTGAAGTGATTGCGTGGGGAATCTTGTTCGCAAAGCTGGCTGTGTGCCTCGCAAGGTGTATGCCCGACATGGGCGAGGGGACAAAAAGCCTGCCTATCGCAAGTGCGATTTGAAAACAGAGTCATGTATGCGAACTGAAAAGAACAATATTCTTCATTAAAAGAGTACACATCTTCAAGAAGCAAAAGGTAAACGACGTTGGCCTGATTCGAACAGACGCTCCCGAAGGAACAAGATTTCTAGTCTTGCGCATTAGACCACTCTGCCACAACGCCTGGCATTCCCACTCGCTGGTCGCAACCTGAGGTGGAGATGGCGATGGCAGCCAATCGTGTTACGAAAAACCCACTCATTGCAGACCCATGCGATTTCATTCGATGAACGAGACATCTGATTTGTTTTCCAACTTCCAGCCGCATTAGACAAGGCGTTCAAATCATAAATTATGGAGCATATACACACTGAAATCAACCGGAATAGGAAAAAATAGAAGTAGGTTTTAAGTGATCATTAATTGACCGTCGATAGTGTACCAAGTTCTGAGGAGAGCTTGATTGGTGACATCTATCTAGGAAATCTCGTTCATCAACTCTGCCAGCCGTGCAATCCATTGTGATTGGCACCCCAATTGCAGCGGGATGAGTTCAATCAGCTTTATCTCTAAAAGTATTCCGCTCATGACGAGAGATCTGAAGCCTTCTACAAGGCAAAAAGGGTAGCTCATCACCAAGGCTGATGTGATCAAACTGGGACTTTACCTTAATTTCAATCACCTTTTGATGCAAGCCTTACGGAGTTTCTTAGACCCGATATATAATTCAGAAAGGACCCCTCCTGCCCGAGAGCAGCGTTACAGAGTCTAGATCAGCCTAGGGACTGATCAGCTTGTACAAGAGTCTTCAGCGGGAAGCTAGACGCAGGTGACGAAGGAACGCTCCCCGTGGGATGGTGTGGTGGCGCACGTGCGAGGTATTGAAGTCAAAAATCTGGCAGCGTTGCGGATCAACTCCGGACTTCACATACCCATATCCAGCCGCTTGGTCGAAAGTGGCACGATATAGTGTCAATATGTAGAGTAGCCAACCTCATGCAGAGTTGCAAACCGATGCCAGTTTGAATGTGCAGCCTCTCGCCAAGTTTATTCAAGCCGCTTGTTCAACGGACAGGAGATCCCGGGGCCGATGCTTCCGACACTCCGTTACTTCTAAAAAGACGTCCCATCATGAACTCTATCCTGTTGCGAAGCCCGTTGGCATACCCACGAGGCTGGAAACCAAGCAAACGAAAAACTCAAAAGCAACAGCCCAATCATCATCCATACTAAGGCGGAGCTTACTCCTTATAATCGAGTCGAGGGTTCTAAAACCGAGTGTAAACCTCAAAGCATTTCAGGGTGCTCTCGGTCTTCAATCCGTCTTGATTTAGTGTAGCACTTTGCTCTTTGCACTCACAGTGTTGTCGGAACCGCACTTACTTAGTAGTCAGATCAACGTTTTAATATTCTCAACGTTTCCAGCCCTGTGTATAAAAGCCAAGCGGCACTTCTTCCCCCAGCAGATTTGATATTCTTAGCAGCGCACTATCTGAGCCCCAGATTCCAGGATGCCCGCTGCCACCCTGGTTACGACTCCGCTGTTGGGATCCTTACACGGTGCCCCCAAATCATAGCGTCATCGCCTCCCCGAAGGAGTATACGTTCCTACCCTTGAATTCCTCGTGGAGTCCGAGGAACGTGATACAAATAATCTCGAACGCCACTTCGTCAGATGGATAAGCGCTGGTGAAGCAGGCATCATCGGCCACGGATCCAACGGGGAAGCAGCGCACCAGACTAGAGAAAGACGCAATTCCATGATCCAGTGCGCAGCCGATACCATCGGCTGAGAGGAACACGATGTCGAGTTATTTCATTGCTTGCCAGATGTGGAGCCCAGTCGACATGCGACATTCTTCAACTCGGCAAAGACGCCGCCGAGAGCAACGCATCTCGCGCGCTCGTGCTACATCCAAGCTACTACAGCCCCCCTTTATCGACGACGAAAGAATCGTCCAGCACTTTCACAACTTCGAAGACGAATCGCCCATCCCGTTGGTCATCTGCAACTTCCCCGCGGCAGCGTCGGAACTTGACCTCATCTCGGACGCCGTCTTCCGCCCCGCGCAGCACCTCATGAAAGAAGCTTCGGACGTCTTCCAAGGCAGAGAGCTAGGGGGCTGATTCGTCGGCGTGGTATTACGCGCACGTAGCCACCATGGCAGCGGACAAAGGGTCAACATCGCCAGGACGGGATAATCACTTGTGCACCCCGCATTCTCATGTTGTCTCTGTCAAAGCTCATGAGGCGCTTTACCATTTCCTACCTACTAGAGGGGGCATTTCATCGCCATGTCTTCTCGCTGGTCGGCGCCCCACGACTCTCCCGGTAGGTTTGCACTCAATTACAAAAACTAGGTTTGTGAAGTGACCCACCTAAGCTGTTTTTTGAGACGGTTCAGGTATTCTAGATTCCTCTGGATGAGCAGTACATTATAAGATGAAATCAAATAAATTAAGAGTGGTAGTAAGTATCTCCACAATGAGAGGTACATGTAGGCTTGAGGTGTCGTCGTGGGCAGGATTTACAGTCTCAAACTGCTGATTAGGGCGAAGTTGTAGATTATTCAACAAAACTTGAGGGTTAGAGGCAACAAACAACTTTAGATGCAACCTTATGAAGTGAAAAAATCCAAATCCTGTCTTCTTAAGTATTAATGCCATTGTATAAATCTTCAAATACTGCCTGTCCTCGTTGATGTCCTGGAGGTCTTCAAGAGATGACGATTGAATTCTGCATACAGAGAAGTGGGCAGATCTGAGAATCAAATAATGGCAAGGGCATGAGAAGAAGCGCAGCAAGGGACACCAAATTTGATATCATGTTCGTTTCTGAAATTAAGTACCAAGTATCTACGAAGAGTACCTTCTATCATCTTGAAACTGAATCTGGACCCCGTATGTAGACAATGATATGGCTCTTTCCCTCTCAGTCATTGCTACTACCTCCCTACGAGGCCTGGATGCCTGTTTTGAAGTGATCACACACCTGGCCCCTTAATCCGCCTCCGTGGGGGTAACGTGTTTGAGAATGATAAGTCAGTCAGCGTTAGTCACTTAAAGAATAGCACTAGCCGCCGGCAGCCGATAAGCGCCAGAAAGCAACAGTGTCACAGCACTCTGAACGGTAATAAATGTGAGGAAACACAGCATAAACATGAAAAGAGAAGAGCGCCGGGTGGCAAGCTATGCCTAGCGCGCCAGAATTGTCTTCATGTGGCGTGTTAAGAGAATGCACCGCCGGGCTGTTGGCCGATAGAACAACGGAAATAGTGAGATCCATGCTTCGCTCTCTGTGGTTAGTGAAACTGGTGAATAGAGGCGGCATATTTTTTTTATGTCATCTGTTGGTCGATCCTTCCATGGACAGTGGACATCGTCAAGAGCCGTCGCGCTGGTTTCAAAAAACACGCTGACGGCTGGTGTCCGCTCAGCAACTGGAACATCCACTTCTGGATCTCAAGGCACTGACAATAGAGGCGATCAGGGAGGCCGTAATGTCGACCAGCAGAATGGGCTTCCGGCCGGAACCACTGCTAGGCTGACCTCTGGCGGCGTCACAGCTGCAAGGACCGTGTCAGATTAACCACTTGGCGCGTAAGACGGATGGCGCGGCATCTGAAAGGGGGGGCCGTACCTGCGGCCCGGGAGGAGGATGCCCTACCGAATCAAGCATACTCAACCTCAGACAGCCAGAGATACCTATGGGGTGGGAACTATGAGAACAGCCGTCAAGACGAGGATTCACGACCGTCCATTTTTTGAATGCTCGGCTAGAGAACAGTAATCAACAAGGAGTCGTCTGGAGCACGGGTTTTAGTCTCATTCGATCCCTGGTGTGAGTGCCGAAATCTGCAAAACATTCATAATTAAGCCATAAAGCATGACACTGAAGCCTTTTCACCAGTGCTTAGTGAGCACACGACGAAGGGGGGTACTCATTGATCTTGAACGATTTCCCTCTTCAGTTGTCTCAATCTCACTGGGCGCTGATGTGGACGTCTCTATTTTGACAGCTGACGTTTTAGCCCCAGCAGCGTCTTTGAGCAGCTGTGCGTCTACATAGTATGTCCGAGTCTTCTGCCTTGTAGAGAAATAAGAAAGGCTTGTCAACCTGATGCAGAAGTAAACATCCTCATCATCGAGCCTAGAATCAAATCTACTTATTACCAGGGTAGATGTGATATGCACCGTAGGCGGCTTCTTGCATTGATCTCATAGGTCCTTCCAAGCATCTTTACTTGAGACATCAGCTCTGCATCAGTGCCAAAAGAAAAGGGGAAAACCTCTGATTACCGATGTCATCCCCACTCGGCCGATAGAATCGGTCAGTGACCGAATCAAGCGGATGGAGGTCTTGGGCGTGCGGGAATGTGGAGGGGCCTCGGCTCCTGTTTCTCCATCTTTCATCCCATGAATTTTAAGAAAAAATGCATTTCATCTCCCACATTCTCCATCACATACCCAGCTGGAGCCTCGTTCTCGCTTGCCTACGGTGTATCCAGCGCCCATCCCCTTTTCTTTGTCGGGCGTCTGCCCCCTGCCTCATCCCTCCTCACCTGTACGAAGGCAGAGAGGCCCAAAGTATTGAGGGCTTCCAGGGACCGCTGACACTGTGTGAAGGACTCGGACTTTTGCTCGACGTCGTGGCACCGATGATGAACTAATCAAATTTTGATTGGACATTGGCCTATCTAATCTTGTTAATTGCTTGAAAAGTGCTTCGATTAGGTAGGTGCAAATAAAGGAGACGACGGATTGAGACCGGTTATAAGCCGCTCGCGTCTGTCTGCTTGTGGTCCTCACACGGCGGCGACAAGGGTTCCTGGAAGCCCTCAATACATTTGGCCCCTGCATCACCTCCATACGTTAGCAGCAAAAATTCAAACGTCCCAATCTAACGGGCTCAAGGCTCAGAAAGAAGAGGGGGCAGGCCTGGCCCGGCATCCCGGCCCCGCTGGTGGGACAAGGTTTAGCGCCCTTGACCCTACCTCGGATCCACGATGTGGGCACGATCGGACGAAGAAGGCGAGAAGAAGAAACGAGTCCGAGGAGGCCCTACCGCTCTAGCCGGGCAGCCAGTCTGCTCACCGACAACCCGCCAGGCCAGCAAGTGGGGACCAGAAGAGAGCGTAGACTTTCCCTGTCAGCGCATCACCGCACCACTAGACTGATCTGCCCTTCGAGCACTATAGCTAAACTTTATAAGTAAAATAGACATTACACTATATCTCTCTACAAGTTTATAGTGATTGGAGATTTTGTTTTGGATATCAAGACGATTTTGACACCATTATCGGTCGTAAATGTGTGGTTGCCGTGGTATAGAAAATTGAAAGTCCGCGTGTGCGTTCTATTATGGTCCCCACTTGGCCGCGTATGAGACTCCGAGAGCAGAGAGGACCAGTATGACGCGCGCCCTGAAGTGGCCCACGACCTGGCAGCCAAGTTGGGTATGGTGGAGTTCCACAGGGGCAAAGGCTTCGGTCAGAGGTTGATGAAAAGATGCGCTCCGCGTTGTTGCCACGGGATGCGGCCGTGCAGAGAGGACATTGTGAACGCGACGTTTGAACAAGCTGGACGAAGTGACGTCGCAGTAGAGAACCATCTCATTCCAAGTGAGATGCATCCAGATTGTACGGCAGTGCATCGCGTTACCATCTTACCAATTGGTCAGGTAATTCCGGGCGATGATGACTGATGCGGTCAAGTCTCGACGAATACGATACCTACTCTCTTCGCCCGTGTCTGGGACGACAAAGGGCCTTCAGCTCACATCGAGATTGAACCACGGAGTCAGCTTCTCGAAACAGGCCAACAATCCGCACAACATTTCAAATATCTTTCTAGACGGGCACAAGGAAACATGGACCGTCATCCCCCTTAAAGACGAGCGCATCGACCTTTAATTTCTCGCTTGCAGGGACGTTCCAGGTTGTCGACGATCCTCACGCATCTCCCGTTGGGGTCATCGAAGATGCGAAAGGCCGAGCAACCGAAGATGGGACGAAGGGAGGATCATGACTTGTACCGCAACGACAAGGGCATCACCCAATCTACGACAACCGACACCGAGAGAATCGAAGAAGCAAGGCGGTGGGGGTGACACGGCGGAGCCGCCTGAAAGATGCGTGATGGCGCCGTTTCAGCCATCCCGGTTCAGGAGCGGAAAGGGTGAAGCAAGGATTATGTCATGACGACGCCCACCCCTTCCCTCCCCTCCTTCTCCTCGTGGGCGTCTGCGCAAAAGGAACATCAGCCAAAGACAAGCAAGGCTCAGTCCAACAAGTGCCCACCTAGCCTCACTCAAATTAAACAACTGGGCGACTACTGCCCGTTGTGGGAGCCCTGTCCGTCACCCGCCCAATCGCCGCCATTCCCTCCACGTGGAGCTGACTGGGGATCGTTGGCTGCCATGTTCCAGGACCACGGATGGATCACATCTCTGGGCTCTTGGTGGCCGGCTTGTCTTGTGTCTACTCTATCCGTACGGTAGTACGGTCTCATCCCGTACCCGACTGACTGACTACTGACTGACCGACCCAATGCTGGCCTGGGCTTTCTTTTCTGTTCGTCCACAGTATGTACTATCAGTTTGCTCCGCGTCCATAGCTGGGTCTAGAATGGGTCGCCCATGATACCCACACCCTGTGACGGCAGGCCACACAACGGTTTTGTCAGTCCAACCGTATAAGAGCCTCCGCCATGCCTCGAACTCTTTCTCCTCATCTCCCTGATCCTATCTCCTCGTCCCATTCCAAACTTGTCCGAATTTTCATTCACGTTCATTCTTTCAACACTCTCTTTACAGCTGTGCTAGACACAAGCCACTCTTTTTTTTGAGCTTTTTACAGAACATTGCGAAACAAAATTCCCAACCGTCAAACCCTCCTTTTTTAAAATCAAGCCAATCTCTACCGCGTAGAAATCAGCCAAAATGCAGTCCAACATCCTCACCGTTCTCTCCTTCGTCGCCGCCGTCTCGGCCCACGGCAAGGTCACCTCGCCCACCCCCCGCTCCGCCGGCGATGCCTTCAAGGCGGCCTGCGGCGACACCATGTGGAACACGGAGCAGGCCGACCCGTACGGCAACATCCAGGGCCTCGCCAACCAGGCCGGCAGCAGCCTCGACCCCACCAAGTGCGAGCTCTACCAGTGCAAGGGCTACAAGTTCGCCGACAACACCGCCAACGTCCAGAGCTACACCCCGGGCCAGACCGTCGACTTCAAGGTCGAGATCCGCGCCCCCCACACCGGCGTCGCCAACGTCTCCGTCGTCGACACCACCGCCAACTCCATCATCGGATCGCCCCTCATCTCCTTCACCAACTACGCCTCCACCAAGACCGGCGTCGCCGCCAACAACACCGCCTTTAGCGTCACCCTCCCCAACTCCCTCCCCGCCACCTGCGGCACCGCCGGCAACTGCGTTCTCCAGTGGTGGTGGGACTCTGCCGAGGCCGGCCAGACCTACATGTCCTGCGTCGACTTCACGTCCGGCTCCGGCTCCGGCTCTGCCGCGCCCGCTCCTGCTCCCTCTGCCGCTGCTCCCTCTGCTGCTGCGCCAACCACCCTCGTGACCTCTGCCATCGCCTCCGCTACCCCCTCCGCCCCTGCCGCTGGTAGCTCCGATCAGACCGCCGACCCCGTCGCCGCCACCCCCTCCGCTACGCCCTCTTCTCCTGTAAGTATTACACATCTCACATCCCCATCCTTTTTTCCAAATCTACTCTCGTGGTGGTAGACTGGAAAGTTCGGATTGAAACCTGTTGAAAGTTGTTCACAATGAGCTAACCCCTTATTTCTCAATAGTCCCCTTGCAAGCGCAACGCCAAGCGGGCCCTTCGCAAGCGCTTCTAAAGTGGAATTTAGAGTTTTATAGTAGACTTCGGACTCGCATCTGATACCCCAGTCACCTTTTTTGAGACGAGATGGAGGAGGAGGAGGAGGGACGAGAGAGAGAAAGACGAGATGGTTCGGAAACGGACCTCACAGTTTCACAAAAAAAGGGCTTGACACCCCCAAACCCTGGGATTTGCATGTTCTTGTACAAAGTTTAAAACACTTCAATGTTCAATACTTATTCTTTGCATATTATACCCTCCCTCTGCCTACGTAACCGTGAAAATGCGCGTCTTAATACGAAACATGCTGTCCCGCTCCTTCCATTCTCCATGTCCGTCGTCTGATTCCTCGTTATGTAATTTGACAGCTGAATACAAATGTAGACAGGTTTCCCAGGTCAGCTTTGCCAACGTCCCAACTTCCGTCCCACCATCCTTTACACCAGAAATTGTAACTTTCCTCTTGCAGATCAGACGCACGACACAACCACGTCCGAACTGGCGGATTCGACGCGGTGGTGTGCGGTCTGAGGCAAAGTCGTCGCAAGTAGGAAAACCCCACCAAAGATCGTCCCTTATGACGATCGGCTAAGAGCCAAGAGTGACATCACTCGTGGAGTCCACGAATAATTAGTGTATATGTTCGGATAAAGTAACCCGGGAGCACCGTGCACGATGGCACGTGCTCCGCATGAATGACAGCGAATCCGCCCCGGGCTATCTATTACTCCTTTCCGTGCTCGGATTTCAACCAATCCTGACCCTATCCTCAACCCACCCCTTTCACTAACTCAACCGTGATTCAGCTAATAAATTCCACTGTCAATTGAGCTGTGCACGTGCCAGCATGCACGGTACTCTATCGGGTCAATAGGGCTAGCGCACTGTCAGGTCACATCACCCGTGGCAGATCGGGAAACATCGCCAGAATCCACAACTGCTGCAAGTCATCTCGCGGACGCGAAACTCAAAAAAAGAAGGAAAGAAAAAATACCACTCCAACCCTCCCCGCCCTTTCCCCGCAGTGATGCCGCCTATGCTCTACGCCCAGTGGTGCTAACAGACACCCAGCGACCTTTATTGCATCCGGCCGGCTGGAGACTTTGTTGCGGACAGCAGCTTGTGGGCAGAAGCCGGTGGGAGCCGCGGTGCTAAGCAAAACTCAAATCATGTAGAACGTCAGGCTCCCCCACCCCTTGTCTGCAGCGCCGTCCGAAACGAAACAACTACATCGGAGACGGCGGCGTTGAAACTCTAAAAAAAAAAAAAAGAGAGACCGGACCGCAGGCTTCCCATGACTCCCCCCGATATAACTCATGGACGGCCGCAACAAGCATCAGCGAGCGAACTCGAAAACGACCCCCCCGTCTGTTCCGTAGATCCCGCTCAGAGCTTTGAACCATCCATCCCGTGTTTGATGTTAATTTGTTCTCTTCAATCTGCCCGCCATCGCCGAGTCATCTGTCGCAACCCTACGGAAACTTCGGACTGGCTGGGAAATCTTGCAACCGGACCGGCCAGCACCCGCCTGGGCGACGGCAAGACACGGACATCCTGTAGTGGCTGTGGCGGCGGCGAATCAACCAGACGACTGGCCCAAAGATATGCAGAGCGTGGATGGATATCATCACTCCTTCCCACCTGGTTGGGACGATGGGTCATTCAGAGAAAATCCTGAGTATCAGATCTGGCGACTGCGCTTCAGCCAGGATTGGGCGCGATTGATTAACACTCAAACAAAACATTTACAGCTCCCCAGTGCCAATACCTTGAGAGGACTTGCCCATGAGTCGGTAAACTGAGATCGCATTATGATCCAGCGACAGAGTTCACTAGGAGAAACACCGACCCCGCGCGCGAAGCAGCTTCCGCAGCTTCTCCGACTACAACGTCGGAACATTCTCGCACGCTGGGCGGGGGCCGTTCCGCACCGTCGCCGGTCTGCAAAAGTCTAGACACCAATGGCGTGGACGAACAAAGACGTGGCTATACTCGAGCTGTTACATCCATCGCACAGCGACATCTAATTTGAACGAGCTGTCCTCGCGGCAACTGGAGGAAGAATCCTCTACCCGAACCTGATACGTGCGAAAATGAGGCCCAGCGTACGGCGATGAGCAGGGACCGGGCAGATCCTAATATCTCTTTGTGGTACTCGTTGTTACAGCAAGGGTGAGTCGGCGCGGACCAAACAAAAGATACCTTTGAAAACGTGTAAGGAGGTCCAGCCCGCTTGTTTGGTCACCGCCAGCAGAAACCACATCTCAGGGTGCCAGAGGTCAAGGATGGGTTCTTCACATCATCAGACTCGTCAGAATCATCAATCACTCCAAGACTGCCGCTCGGCCATCTTCAGCAATTTACGAGTACCGGAGCAGCTATGAAAAGAATCCACAAAAGACAACTTTGGTTCATTGGCAACAGAGGGAGCTACAGGAAACCGACAACGCCACCCGAAAGGACATTCGGAACTGATACCACAGAAACTGGCAAGATTGTTGAAGCGCTTCCCCTTTGCTTGATGAGCTCCAGAGACATTGTAACCAGGGAGCGAGTTTTGATCCAGAGGGCTGTGTGCAGTAGAGAAAATAATGACTCATTTCGGAACAGCGACAAGACCTTGGGAAGGAATCAAGGTGAACATGATCAGAGAGTCGAGCGATGGTGATTTTCGGTGAGTTTGCGGTCGACCTACGGCAAGTGACAGGTTACTACGGAAGAGAGGTAGACCAAGAGGTGGATTGCGTACGAGAGCCGGATGAGCTGTAACGGCGCTTGGCGTTGCCACCTTGGAGCCGATGGCCCCCGCACATCGGCCGGGAACTCCGCGCCGAAACCGGCGGTTCGGGAACAAAAATGGACCCGGGTCGGGTGCCGGCGCCGTTATAAACCTGCAAAGCCAACAGGAACTTAATGCCATCTAGTGCCTGCTTCCAATGAATCATGTCCTGATTTGAATAATAAAGTCTATTATTCTCGATGCCTTATTAATCAAGAAGTTTCAAGTTGGCATCACGTACTACTACCCTCAAGTCGCCAACTCCAACCTGAATCGTCAAAATTGCCGACGGCCCTTCCCCCCCCTCCGACCACAATGACTCATGTCCCCGCCCTTGTAAAGATATTTGGGCAAACCAGTAACTTGGTAAACCCAGTTCGACCACCCTTTTCCGCCTGTCCTTAGCAGCGACCCAGAAACTCACCGGACGATACCCGACGCCGCTCACCACTCACCACAACCATCGACCAATCAAACCGCCTTATCCAGCCTCCATGCTCCGATTAGGAAGGTCCACAAACCAGTTGCCCGCGGCATCTGTCCGACGAGGGAAAATCGCTAATCGCCTCATGATAGCACAGCATTGCTTCCTCCTTCTCTCTCTGAAAAGCTCCTGTCCCACGGGCCACTGCAGGCAACAAATCTCTCCCGACTTCTCCGTATCGGCACCGGTCTCCCAAACTCACTCAACTGACTCACTCACTCAGTCTTTACCATCCAACCGACAACCCCCCCCCGTGAAGACTCCGAAACGCGGCTTCGGCAAAGACTGGGGTGTTCGATGCCGTTATCAATCGAAGTCCCGTACCCCGCCAAACTCCTATCTCGGCGGGGGAAGCGAGGATGGCAGCTCTCGACACAAGCTGGGTTAGCTATCACGCAATGGATTGGCCCTTCACGGCCGACTTGAATTTTTGTGTGATTGTGTACATAATGACATTCGCCCAGTCCCGTGACACCCTACGTAGTAAATGCCCTCTTCTCCCAATCCTCGACGTTCCGCATAGACAAGCGTGGTGTGTTGTTGCTATCAACATCCTTTGCGGTCTCGAAGAGCATCTGCCTCAGATCGTGCGAATCCCACAACCGTTTTGGTGATTAAGTGACGGCCCCCCCTTCATATTCAATTGATAGCGCAGACGTCCTCGTCCGGCTGAGACGAGAACATCCGCCCACACCATGCGCTCACAATCCCTCCTCCTCACCTTCCTCTCCGCCTCCTTGGCAACCTCATCCTCCTCGCCCTTCTACACCGAACACCAATACCCCTTCATCGACGACGATGCCACCGACGACACCACCGCCGCCGCCACCGCTGGGACCGGCCCCGTAGTCTCCTCGGCCTTCCAATGCGACCTCCCGCCCCCCGTAGCCCCCTCCGACGGCCTCCCCTCCGCCCGCGACCTCTTCACCTCCGAAGCCGCCATCAGGAAACAAGTCGAGCGCCACGCCGCCCTCGTCCGCGTCCCGTCAATCTGCTACGACGATCTCGGCGACTTTGACAAGGACGAACGGTGGAACGTGTTTTACGAGCTCCACGACGTCTTGAAGAAGACGTATCCCGTCTTGTGAGTGTCCTCCACTCCCTGCTTCCCACCCCCCCCCCCCCCCCCCCCCCCCCCCCCCCCCCCCCCCCCCCCCCCCCCCCCCCCCCCCCCCCCCCCCCCCCCCCCACCCCCCCCCCCCCCCCCCCCGCCGCGACGGACGCCGACCCCCCCATGACGGGTGTCCCCGCGACCTACTTCCCCAGGCCCCCCCCCCCTCAACAACCAACCTTTCACCACGTGAGGCCGCTCCCGAGAAAAGAGCACACAGCACCAACCAAAAGCTACCAAAGCAAGACCAAGACCAACACACACTAAACAATCAAAAATACAAAAAACAGTCACGCCCGCTCCACCCTCGAAAAAGTAAACACCTTTGG